ACTCACCCATGAATCATTTCTCCCATGTAGATACGTAAAAATCCCTTCAAAATCCCTCTAGAAACCACCTGGAGATTTCCGTTGTGTCTCCATCAAATTCCGCATCGTTTATAACCTACTTCGTGTTGCCTCCATTGTATTATTGGCGAAACTTCCAAAAATCCTGAAAACGGTTTTTAGGTTTTCGTATAGTTTTAGGTAAAATTCACTTTTCTCCAGGAAGGAAAACAATTTTGAAAAACTGCTCGTTTACTTTTAAAGAGGAGCTTCTGGCAAATCGAACCATACAAAAAATCGATTCCAGCACATCAGAAAAAGTTTTTGAAAGGCTTTAAAAAAATAATTTTTTGGGCTTTGAAAATTGTGCTTTTAGAGACCTTCACGGGCAACTGTTTAGGTCAAAAACAAGTTTTAAAGATATTTTCTGATTCAGTTGTTCAAGCTAAACAAGAATATGTCCTTTTCGAGTATCTAAGTAAATTCATAAGTCCACGAATTTAATTTTACAAAAAACGTGGAAAAAACAAGTTTTTTCGATTTTTTGAACTGAAGGAAGCTTTGAAATAACTTGAAAAACATATATTCGTGATCGCCATAAAATTCTGTAGCAAATGATGCGTGAAAGACGAAAATTCATAATTTCACTTGAAGTTTGTCTTGCGCGAACTTTAGTTTGTCATTCTTGATTTCTAGTGATTTCCAGTGATTTCTAGTATCAGAAATCAGTTTTTCCCCCTTGGTTTGACTGTTAAAAGAAGTTGAAAGAAAAAGAAAAAAATTATATCGTTTGTAGTATAAGTTTCTCTTTTAAGGATTTCACTGACGGGGTATGGAAAACCAAGACAAGAACGAAAGAAATTAGCACCCGGGTTCAATCAACGTAAATATCGACAAGGGAATGTGCCAACTGATCGATCACTATTGATTTTGCATTACGTATCTGGTAGAACTCGGTGATTTATGACAAATCACATTAGACCTTCTATTCACAGCAATAATCATTTTATCGGAATTAAAGCATTTTAGCATAGGATATGCTAATGAATAGATTGAAGCTATTTCGATCTGAAATTTTATCTCCAGGCACGATTATTTGTAATTACAATACATTGAAAATTTCAGGTCGAAAGAAAATTCCAAATCCAAAAGTCATTCGTATCCCACGAAAGATACTAAAATTTCGTTTTTTGAATAGTGAAATAAATATTGCTTTGAGTTGAAATTCTAGAAATATTCTTCTCTTAAATATATGTATCTGTGAGCAAAATCTCAGATAGAAATATCGTTCTTCAATTCATTGGTATGCATGCCATTCGCTAAAACCGCTATAACTTTAAACACCAGGCCTAAAAGAGCTGGGATCTACGTTATGTGCAGAGTCAAAACTAAAAAATGATTGATCAGTTGAGAGTTTCTTCGAAAAAGAGAAAAATTTACTTCTGATGAATTACTCTATAAGTAGTTAAAATAATTCGGTTGAAGACTAAATGGACATTTAAATGAACAGCCATTACAACGAAACCAAATTCTGGCTCGATGTTTGGAAACTATCCAACTATCGGTGACTACCCACATATTTCCTAAGATGCAAAGACAATTATTAAAAACAATACGATGCGGTTAATTTCAAGCATTTCTAAACATGGTTGATTCTTTTCGAATATCTTCGGACCTTCGGTTTTCAGATAATTTCTTCTACCTACCTCGATGGGTGTTTGTTGTGATTCATCACTCAAGCATTATTCAACATATCATCGCGAGGTGATAATACGAACATATATTTTGAGTTTTAGTAGCATACCGTTGTTTCATGTTAAATATTAGCTTGCTCTATTTTAATTGACATGATCGATCTACAGAAGTAGTTTCACTGCTTTTTTTCGATCTCGAAATTTTCTATCTGTCTTTTTAGGATTCATTCGTAAAAATAGTTAATCGTTTCAATTCTTGACCATTTATGCAACGTATTGAAGAGCGTAAGTCTATTTAATATTCTTTGCAATTCTTTCATTTCATGTCTATGCTTTTCGAATAAATTTACGAAAATGTTCAATCTATTTTCCCGATATTTTTAACTTCTTTTTTTTGTACACTAGTTAACTACTGTTCAATAGTGTTTGGCTGAGTGTGTGTTTTCTTTCTCTATAAAATAGAGTCATGAATCGGGTCGGATTTTCAAACCCGACGCATTCGTCACTACTCATAACGACTGTAAAGACTACCATTCACGTTTGGTTTGGTGTGCGTGACAGACGCGCACATTGATGAAAGAATGGATGGTGATCTTTGTAGTCGCTACTATTAGTGGCGGCTGTATCAGGTTTGAAAACCCGATCCGATGCAGGACTCTATTATAGAATGTTCGAATCATCAAAATTTTTATTTACAGAAAAACCTAATTTATGGTTAACAATGGTTGACAGTTTACTTTAGAAAAAAGTAAAAAAAAAAGAACGAAAAAGGAAACACAAGCAATAAGTAGATAGTTTATCGTTCTACTCGATAGCAATCAATATAATGAGTAGCTCGCTGTTTAATTAAGTCACGTGTATTACGTGCTGTATCACGTAGTTGTTCAAGGCGTTGAACATTGGGCATTGTTTGACGACTTGTTTCAAAAGTTTTTAAGGCATCTAAATAAATAATTTCATTCGCTTTATTTTTGTGCTTGTAAATTAAAATATTACTATTTAGTTTGAAACTATATTGTGCAATTTTATGTTGTAATACTTTCATATTTGTATTTAATGTTCGTACTCGAACAGCAGTTGAACGTGTCTCTGCTGGTAAATCTTGTTTATCACGTGTGTAATTTATAAAATAGACATTGAGCATAGTTAAATCCTATATAAATGAAAAACATCTGATGTACTAGTTTCAATTAAAATAAAAACCTGTGTCAGATCGTCTAAATATTTCGGCAGGAATTCATTCATATTTCGTTCGGTTTCAATAGCAATAACTTCAATAGAATTGCGTATACTCGAATTTAGTGTTTGTTCAGCTCCTTGTAATTGTAATAAACGTATACGTGTTGCATTTAAGTTTCGTTCAGATTTATCTAGCAAATCTGATGTCTAGAAAGTGTTTAGAGACAAATATAAATTCATGGGATATAAAAAAAAGGAGAGAGAGAGAGAGAGAGTATTTTACTTGAATAACAGCTGTTTTAAGTTCATCCATACGACGATTTGTTTCTTTAGCTAATAGTTTTAATTCATTAGTTTCATTATCAAGTTTATCAACAAAATTATCAAGTACTTTTATTCCACTTGCTTGATCAATGTATGATCTATAAAATGAAATCAGAGTATTTAATATTTTAAAATATCATCGTGGTCTTGTATAAAGGATTACTATAGATCTATGATTGCCAGTAAAGAAAAAACGAGATGAGGTTAAAATTTTAAGATTTTTTAATTTAGTATGTTTGATTAGTTTTATTTTTGTTTGCTGCCTTACTGATCGATATGAATTGCTCACATTTATTGTACAAAATCGATTAATAACATCATGAATTACGAACGTCGCTCTAACTCTAGGAAAAATGAAAACAACTAATAATTGCCATCATAACTCTCAGTCGATATTAAATATTTTATTCGACTTAATAGATATTACAATGGTTATGGATTGTAGTGATGCTAGAAAATTGTTTTCATCTGAAACTTCTTAGCTACGAAAATTCTAGCTTTTGTAATCAAACATATAACATGCACACATAATAAGTCTTGAGTAATCATATTCAATATTTATGCCTTATTAAGATTCATTATATTGAATCATCTAAGATTATGAATTATTCTACAAATGACTATGACTAATATAGATGACTATTAGTATAACAAATTCTTGTTTTGCATTGTCGACATAAAAACAAATTACCTGACATAAGTTGATAGATCATTTTCAATAGTTTTTGCTCGGCTTAACTTAAATGTCGCATCACGTATTTTTTCTAATTCGTTTCCAGTTTGACTACTTTTTTGAGCTTGTTCAACTAATGTTTGAATATCATGAATATTTTCTTCTAAATTATTTGATGTTAAATAAATTTTCTTTGTCAATATTCGATCAATTATTTCTCTAATATCAGCCGGTTTTCTATCAAGTAAACTATTGGTTAAATTTGTTATTTGTTGTTGAATGGAATCAATATTAAAAGTCGTCTCATTCAACGTTATATTAAACGATGCAAATCCTTGTTGTTCACGAATTATTTCATTTAATGTTTGTGTTACATCTTTTTCTAATTGATACTGACGTGCATAAATAAGATTTGTTTCTTCTTGTTTTGTTGAAAGTACAGTTTGTGTTGCATCCATTGTATCAATCAATGTATTTAATTGTCCATGAACACTTGATAGGCATTGTAAAGATGAATTTGCACATGTTGACTCGCAACCTTCACCACCACAGATTGAACATTGATTATTTTGAATACCACGTGAACCACATAGAATTTCACTAACATTACCCTAAATTAATAGAATTTATCTATCGAAAGAACGAAAATCAATAGAAAATTCTTTACTGTATTAATATATTTTTCATAAAAATCTTCAGAAGTTTTTGTTAAATTTTTGATTTGATCTTGTATCTGTCGATTTTTTGAACGATATTCTTCATTATTTGCCATAACAGTTTGATTTAATCTTAATAATCGACTTTGCTGTTGATTACTTAAACTCATTAATTGACTTAATTGATTTTGAATATCAATTAATTCTTGTTCGAATTTTTGAGTACTTATACCGGCTGATTGTAAATTTGCATGTTTAGCACGGTCGAATTGTTTTCTATAAAAGCCAATTAATTTCTCTGTTTCCCCAATAGTATTTGTTACATGTAGTAAATCTTCATCAAAACGAAAACGTTTTGTCTGATTAAGAAATTCTGGTTGAAATTCATTATTCAACAATGAAGTAAGACGATTGATACGATCAATTATTGTTTGATATTTATAACGGTATGGATCGAGTTCATTTTGTCTATATTTAAGTCCAAGAGAAATTTGTGCTTGATCAAGTAAAGAATCCACTTGTTGAAATAGATGTCCGTTTGCTATTGATTCAAGTTGACGAATTTCGACTGAATTAAGACGTTCAATCGATGTTTGTACTTGACGAGTAACACCATTTATAATTGTATCCCAATTGGTAAAGCATGCACCACATGTAGAACAGTAGGGTACAACACCATATTTAGCACGAGCACAACGATCACATAATTGCCCAGTAACACCTGGTTTACATGTACATTGACCTGTTTGAGGATCACATTCAGAACTAACTGCTCCATCATTTGAACATTGGCATGGTTGGCATGCATTTGTATCACCATAGGTTCCAGGTGGACATTGATCACATCGAAGTCCACCTCGATTTGGTTTACAACGGCATTGTCCTGTAAATTTATCACACATTAACGATTCACTTCCCTCAAGATCACATTTGCAATCTGAACAATAGCCTCGACCTAAGCCCCAATAACCATCTACACATTGTGAACAGCGCCGACCAGTTTTTGTATCTTCCACATGTTCTTTACAAGCACATGCACCTGTTCGACTATTACATATTTGATCAGGTATACCACCAATACCACAATCACATGTTCGACATTTATCAGGTCCAAGTGCATCACCGAAAAAGCCTGCTTGACACGTATCACAATTAGGGCCACCTGTATTATATAAGCATTTCAGACATAAACCCGTACGACGATCACATGAATCAGGATCATCAACGTTAATATTATTATTACATGAACATGGTTGACATTTACTATTTGGTTCTGTCGGTGAACCATAATAAGCTATTGCACATTGTGAACATCGTGGACCTGTGTAACCTGAACGACAACGACAGACTACTTGTTGAGTATATGGTTCGTGCACACATGAATCACCAAATTGCTGTGATGAACCAGGGCCTCCTATTTAAAATATAATTCAATATATACGTATATACTATTCTCTGAAAGACTTTTGTTTACCTGGACACATGCATGGTTTGCAAACTTGTGTTGAACCTAATCTTGCATCTCCATAATAGCCATCTACACATTTTTCACAATGGTCACCAGATGTTGAATCACGACAATTAATACAAACACCTGTGTCTGGCTCACAGAGATCTGTATGACCATTACATTCACATCGTTGACACGATGGAAAATTCCAAAAGCCCGGTGAACATTTACTACAATCACGACCAGATACATTAGGTCGACAATAACATGCACCAGCAGCAACATCGCACAAATTATTTAAAGCGCCCATATTATGACAATTGCATTTTGTACAACCATCCGGTGAAAAATAGTAACTACCTGGTACACATAAATGGCATTTGGTACCCATTACATATGGTTTACATCTACATTGACCACCTATGGGATCACATTGTGTATTGAGAGAACCAGTTGGATCACAATCGCATGCTTTTTTTTAAATTAAAAATTAAAAATTAAAAATGCAAAATTCTTTTTTCTTTATCAGATAAAGAGTAAAACTTACGTAATGTTCGTCCGATTGTTAATGCATTTAATCCACATATTATTTTTTGACACATTTCAGGTACTTCAATTGGTTGCGCAACAATTAATGCTAATTGTTTACATTGTTGCGTTTCGTAACTATTTAATAGTGATGGATGATTACTAAATACATCGATTTTTTCAATAACAGGAACAAATACAATCTAAACCACGGAACAATTTTAAAAAAATAATAAAACTCCTCCATTTTTATTTGTTTAATATACCGAATCAATACTAATAACTGGATCGCGTGGATTATCTCCATGACCATATTTTTTCAATTGTAATTGCAATTTATAATGTTCATTTTCATTTAAACATAATGGTTTTACTAGTTCATCAAATGTTTTATCTAAATAAATAATTAAATAAAAATATGATTTCTTATTGTTTTTTTTAATCATATAGAGTATGTATATCTGCATACTTGCGGGTAATTTAAATGATTGTTCTTGTTCATAAGTTTGATCATTGCATAATGTTATATTTGGTTGAGTACGATTTTGTGATATCACAACAACACGTGCATCTTCCCATGTTTTTGGCTATATACAATGAAGGAGAAGAACAAGAAGAAGAAAAAAGCATGATTTGTGTTTATTTCATATAATCGATTTCAATCAGTAGAACTTACAGCTGGTATATACCGTATAATTAAACTATAAAGACCACCACGAGCCATATGATAAATATCGAATTCAATAAAACCACCTTCATAAATTCTTACAATACTTGTACCAGTCCATGAGCGTGGTTCATTAGGATTATCGTATGTAAATATAATTGCTTTCTAAAATAAATAATAATGAACATTGTAACTTTAAAATGATCAACATACTTTTTCTTCCACACGAGCTAATTCGGCTTCATACGTAAAAAACTGTAAACCAGTACAGTAAGTACCTGGTGCTGGTGTATCACATTGTCGACCAATCATTCCTTCACGGCACGGACATTGACCTGTATTCAGATCACATTGAAGCGAATAAGAACCACCTGGATGACATGAACATGATCGGCAACCTTCGGGAACATTATCATTCAAACCATAATGATTTTCCTACAATAAATTTGTATTCGAGACGTAGTTTTATTTTTGAAATCGAATTCAAATACTTGACATTGATCACACCGTTGTCCAATGACATTTGGTTTACATTGGCACATGCCAGTTGTAGTATCACATTGTTTATCAATAATTCCATATGGATGACAATCACAAGCTAAACAAAAGAAGAAGCAATTTGTTTCTTTATTATTTTCGTAATTAAAGACAATACCTTGACATCCCTGTGGATTATTATAATCAAGATTATAAAATCCAGCTTTACATTTATCGCATCGTTGTCCTTCGACAAATTCTTTACATATACATTGACCAGCATGAAGATCCAAATGAGAATCATCATATTGAACACAACTACCTTTGTTTCTTGTTCCAAGTGCATCACAATTACATGCTAAATAAATTCATAAAATATGTCAACTATTTTGCAATTTGAACTTACGTTTACAAACATGTGGATCCGTCATTGGTAAAGAATTATCTTTATAGAAAAGATCTTTACAGAATTCACATCGTGCACCAATTGTATTATGTTCACAATCTTCACAAACACCACCTGATGTATAATTTGTTTGTGCGAATCTAACCGGATCGAAACGACAACGTTTTGCATGGCCATGACATTCACAAAGACGGCAAGGATTTGGTTGTCCTATACGAGCCGGTCTCCATGGACGATCATTATACAAATCAGCACAACGCTCACAATTTAAACCTTCAGTATGATGTGTACAATTACATCGACCATAAACCTAAGTTTTAAAGATGATTCATACAAAAAGAGAATAAAAGAAAATGAAAAGTAATATACTTTGCCTGGAGTTGTTACGTTTCCTTTTAATTCATCTTCAGTTGGTATACAGCGTTTAGCATGACCATAACATGAACATGAACCACGTACAACCATCTCATATAGAGCATAATAATATTTTGGTGTTGTTTCTTGTCGATTATCTAAATAGTTATCACCGAGTGTATGAAGTTTCGTAAAATTAATACGTAAATTTGTAATTTTGATTAATTCTTGAATACTTGGTGAATAAGGATCACGATTGCCAATCGTACTTGGTGAAATTACACGAAAAACAACCTGAAATAAGAATTTATTATCAATCTATAAATGAAAATGAAAATGAAAATTTACTTCTCCTCCCGTTGATGGCGTCTCATCCGAATATCGACTTTCACAATAGGGTTGATCTGGTATCGGTATTGTTGTCACATAAGGAAATTGTGTTGCACATGACGCAGCAAAATAAGCATAAGCTTTCCACGTTTTTCCAAAATCTGCACTTTTTTCAATAATCATACCTTTTGGTCGAAACGTACGAAATTTCATGATTAAATGTGTGAAAACAAATTCAGCTTCTAAATTTAATTGAATAGTCACATTTTCTCGATCATTTTCAGCTTGCCACCATGCTTGAGTATGTTTATTTAGATCTCCAGGTGATCGTGCAACAATTTGATCAACTGTATGCGATTTATTTCCTACTTTTACATCACATACATCACAGCTAACATTTTTTAAATTACCAATGAAACAATAACGTTCAGGGCGACGAAGACCACAAGTTGAACTAGCATAAAGATTAGCTGTTCGACCGACTAACAAATCTCCCGTAGCTGGATAACATCCACCATGATCGCAATCAGGTATTAATGAACTACCATTAATAGGACGACGTGTTAATGCAGAAGGTGGACGACGACGTCGAATCGAATTTCCATTTAACGATGATGAAGATATCGATGCATCGATTTGACTGTGGACAGAAACTAAAATTATTTTTCGTAAAAATTGAATAGAATTTAAAATATATTCGCTTCTGAATATTTACCAAATGAATCGAATAAGAATAGAGAACCTAATAGAAAATACCAAAGCCAATATCGCCTACACACCGGACCAATGTACATTTTTCTCATTGTTTGAATGAATAAAAAAAATCGTTATTACGCGCTTATATGTGAGCGCAAGCGTCTGCTCTGGTCACGTATATGAATGAATGGTTATCTTGCATATGCAAATACAGAGAGTGTTCAATCTCGTCTCGGGTCAAAAGCAATGCTCTTTCTTTTCGTCGTTCTTTTCTTTACTATATCATTACTATTCTTACTCGATACGATATTGTATATCAGGTCCGAGCAGTCGGTATGTTCTCGCATCATCGACGACGATGGGCTATGGCGAGAGAACAAGAGAAAATGACCATATCTTATATAATCATACATATCGTAAATAAGGGTACAAAAAATTTAACGTTCGTTGAACTCATTTTTCAATATCTACTTTGATAATGGTCTTCTAGATGCAGAATAGACATCATTTTCGTATGAAACAATGATGGCTTCTATAGATCTAGATATTTAGTGATATTTTCACATTAGACTGAATTGTGTAAATAAAAAAATTACAACCATATATATTATTTAAATTAAACATTAAAATTTATCAACCTACTTCTGTTCGATTTCAGAAAATTACAAGTGAAATAGTAACAAGAAAGATAGTTTACTGTAAGCATACTTATAATAAACCTATAGAGCATTTCAAAGAGTACGATCTCGTCGAAACCATGATAACCATTGTTTTTAATAATATAAGATAATTTAATTTTTCACATGTGTGAAGGCAATGAGGAATACTAATGAAAATTCAATTAAAACATTTTAATTTATGATCATATAAAAATTTTAAAAAAGCAAGTTTTTGCTTACTTACTACAGCACACTGTGATGGCCTATGTTGAATCTTGTTTGTATTGCTATCTATCAAAATTTTCTTAAACTAAACTAATAATATTTCAAGTTCTTATTCGAATAATCGTTCAGCTTAGTACTGTCATCAATACATAAAGAAAATTAAAAAAAAACACCGTTTTTTCATCTCAAATTTTTGTTACGATGTTTGAATTTTGAATAGATGATCTCTCGATTGTCATATCTATACTAATAGTATTGCATTAGATAGACTTGCTCAAGAAGATTTTGCACACTTACAGTATTGTCATGTTTTATATGAAATGAAATTTGGTCTCTAACACTGAGAAAAACAATAACAAGCGTCTTTTTCTTCGAAAATTAAATCACTACTACATCGTGCGAAAATTCTGCATATCTATGTGAGTTTATTGATTGGCTTTGTTATTCGTGTTTACGGCAGTAGTAGAAACAGTCTTGAATAATTATGTGATAGATTATTGAAAAATCTAACATTGCTAATATTCATTGTGTAATTATGTATGAGTGTAAATTTTTCAATAAAAAAAAAACATTCGAAAAGACATTTACCATATACTACATCTCAACAGTTCTTTTTTTCTTTTGTTTGCATGAAACATTTATTCAATTTCATATATCTGAGTGTTGTATGTAAGTAAATAATAGACTAACTTTTTAGTTGTGTATTTTTCGTTTCGACGTTTGCTGAAAATCATATTTTTTTTTATCATTTATATCGATCTAATAATAATACTAAGACATTTCTGATTGAAATAACTTAAATTTTATCTTACTGTGTCCATCATCTTGAATTATTAAGGCAATAGTTGAATAAATACAAAACGTGAATGTTAAATGCTATTGAGATTACTATTAATCTATCTTTTTTTGTACTTTCCCCGATAAATTAAAAAGAACTGATTTTATTATAAGATTGATATCATTACATTACAATAGAAGGGTGCGACTAATATTTAATCGTGGAAACTCACAAAATCACAATTAATTTTCATATTCCTATCGCACGCCGATTATTTCAGAAATCAAAATATTAGTTACTGTTATTCAATAGTTGACAGGAAACTTCAATTATCTTTATTTTGCCTAAATTTAGTTAGAAATTTTTCCATGCATAATTTACCAATAAATATAATATTCATATATTTTCTATTTCTTTACTAATTACTAGGATTGGACGACGAAATATTCTCTTTCATTTTCTTTTAAATATACTAAAATATTATTGAATACGTATCATCTTTGTTGAGAAAAAACTAGCATAGAGCGCCATTTTATTCGAACTCTATACAGTTGGGTCATAAACAATCGATTATACACGTCTCTTTTAGCGTTTAATTTCAAATATATTCATAAATGATCAAGAAGAAACCTAATGAACTGTGTCAAATATAACTAGTAAATTGATAGTTTTCACTGAAATAAATTTTTGTAATCGTAAATGCTTTTACGTATTTAACACTATCTTTTGCAGATGATCAATGTGCAACATGTCGAATTAACAATGTATTCTAATATTAAACTATATATAAAATTTCTCATATGATCATGCATGCATGCGACGACTGGTTCGAATAGCACGTATATGATTGCTTTAGATTTCAGTAAATTCTTTTGTTCAGGATGTGCATCTTTTGGAACCTTAGATATATAAATCGATTTTTCATTCACATAAATTCTTATTAATATTTAACAATAGTATGAATTCACATAAAAACTAGTCTACAGGGTTGTTGTAGTTATTATGTTGTCAGAGAATGAAGTTCCGATAAAAAGTTGTTTTACTAAGTCAATATAATATATTTTATGTTGTGAATTCCGATAATATTTACTTTACTAGTTTTTAACTATTTCTTTTATTTTTAATCGGATAAAATGAATTTTTATTTCAAATATCTATGATAAAAGATTACAAGCCCTAAGAAAAAAACGTGAGCTGTATTCATTTTATCAACATTCGAAACGGAATGTGAAGGATAGCATACGCTTTATGTAAGAATGTCGAACGATGATATGACGTTACTTAAATCAAACGGATTTGTTGGCCATATTCTCTTGTGTTACTCAAAAAAGAGCATCGGTAGTAAATATAATAGCATGATCAATATGTCAAATTTTGAAGCATTATGTCAATATTCTTTTTTTTCAAATTAAAATCATATATTTATCTCTTTAAAAAAAAATAAAAATTCTAGCCAACGTGGTCGCAGATGTTGTACGTCAATGGATTGAGAATAGAATTCGACAAACATTGTAACAGAGAAAAAAAGAGAATGATGTCAATTTATGAGTTGCTTTCTCGTGGATATTATGAATAGACCTGACGTCAGTTGGTAGAAACAAAAAAGAAAAGAAAAGAAAAGACGAATGAGAGAAGGTTGAACATGCACATTAATTTCACATTGTCTCATGCCGTAGTTTCGTATTTTTAATTACCTTGATCTTTATCGGCAGCCTTAGTCTGAACATTTCATACGTAAATTCTTTTTAATTGTTTGGCAATGGTATCAAGTTTTCTTTTTTGGCTTTCATTTTTGTATGCTACACTAACAACTAAGATAAAAAGGTTATCGTGTATTTGCTCATCATCTTGATCTTTCTTTCTTCGTATCGTACTACTCAGTTATAGCTGCTTATATATAGCTATGTAAAGACTATTTTTTTCTCTTTTTTTCCTCTTCAATCGATCATTCTCCGTAATCTATCTCACTCAGTCTATATACAAGAAAGAATATCAATAACAACAGAAGAGAGAATATACAAGACATCTACAAACGATCATCGCCGTTGTCGTTGTATAATAGAATCTATTAACATTCGCCTGTACGTACAAAATATCAGATCTTTAACGATAATATTAATAAAATGTAAGTTTATATTCAAATAAAGAAAAGAAAAATATATAAAAATTTTCACTGCTATCGTTTTAATCGACAGTCATGTTTTTACTTCGTTTGAATAATATCGAATGTAACTAAGAAAAAGTGAGGATATCAGATAATCAACAATGAGTCAGCAATTGATAAGGAATTGACTTGTTTTTCTTGCATTACTGTCAAGTATAGTCAGAGTATCAGCGGAAAAAAAATATTTCATTTTTTTCTTTTCATTTAGAATGCCGAAAGGAGGAATAGATGTCGAACATCAAACAACTAATCAAGGTACTTTAGATGGTGGACATAGTACATTTAATAACTATGCAACTAAAAAAACTTTGGCAAATAGTAGCTTTGAATTAGCATTACTCGTAACGAATGCTGTCCAATTAAAAACTCTTCTTGGTAATAAATCAAATCATGATACACTTTGGTACGTGGGTCTTGCATTGGTTTGTGCATCATTATTAATTCAAGTTGTAAATGCATGTATTTTGGTTTTAATGGGCGCAGACGATATATCAAAAGAACGACGACAACGTCGTTTAATATCCTTAAATAATTTTTCACTTATTCTATCTGTTCTTTTAGCTATTGTAAATGTTGTTCTGAATGTAATTGTTGCTGTTGATCCGCAAATTCTAGCAGGAGCAATAAATGGAACTAAATCAGCTTAAACTTTCTGTTAAACGTGACGAAAAATTTTCTTTATACGATATGTATGTTTTTGTTTACTTTATTCAAAAACAAATAAAAAGAAATACAAATTATTAATCACAACTACCATCTGCTGGTCCATTTTTCCATCTTTCTAATACTTGTTTACAATTAAATTCAGTTTTTCCTAATTTTTTATTAACTATATTATGTTGTTCACACATCCATGTTGAAAGAGCAAGGCAACTCGAAATATTCGGTGGTGATTTAGTAATTTCTTCTTGGAAATCAGTTCGACATTCGGGACACGGAAATAATTTTGAAAATGAATGAATAAATTGACTCATACATTGCTGTTCTTCTTTTTTTGGTTCATCAGGATAATAAGCGGCCATTGTATGGAGTAATGACCACGATGCACGACCTAAGTCATCACGCATTAGTGGACATTCTGAATTTATTGAAACTTGCTGGTCAACAATTGTTGTTTTTTCGGCATTAGTAGTTGTAGTTCCATGTTTTAACCAATCTTTGAAATCAACACAGGCCTTACAAGGTTTTTCAAGATGATTATCATCGACGAAGTGAGAATTGTTATGAGTTGTAGATTTATTTGAATCTCTATTATTGTCTTGAAATGAATTTGATGAATATTCATCAGATGATTTCGTTCCTCGTGAACGACGTTCATAACCTCCACCATTTGTAGAATCACTATTAACAAATCGTTTGTACATGGGTAAGGAAATCTGAAAATATAATAAGAATCTTATGTAATGATAGATTATGCAACTTCGAAAGAAAATTTATTGAATAAAAAAGTAACAAGAAAATAATAAAAATATAATAAGCAACCATTCTGATTTGATTTTTTCTTTCGGATTCTTGTTATTTATTGAGTCGAATCAATTTCTATTTCATATTGAATATGTCGAAATGAAGTTTTACTCGATTCAAATTGATATAAGTTGTTTGAAATTTTAAAGAGATTCATCTGCATTGATTGGGAAATAATATTTTCTAACGAACTTTACTTTGATTATATCTAATTCATGTCTAATTTAACTGGGCAAGTATTTTGTATATGGAAATAAAATAGAAATACTTTACATATTTTTAATGGCTCCTTCATTCAGCAAGTTTAGTCATAATTTTAATAAACCAGACACAATCTTCATGAAAATAGATATTGTAAAATATGCAAATAATTCTGTACAAGATATTCACTAAATAGCATTACAATAAAATGAAAACGAAATATCTCTGCATTGGTTCAATCAAATATACATTAATGATCTGGCTAGTGATAGAAATTTATTTAAAGTTTTTTACACGAGTAAGTTAAGAAAATAATACAATGAAATAGAATTGTTAGTGCTATAAAGATAGAATAGCAGCAATATCTGATTTTGCATAGTAAATATCACTCATTTTCGGTCCCTTATACGTGTCAGTCACAATCTATTCTTCCAGTTCAATGTACTTAATTCCGGTCTTTCCATCTGATAATTATAGTAGATTTGATGGGATCCGATATAAAGTTCTAGGAATGGGTTGGTAATTCAAAATTTTTAGCTGAATCTCACATGTTCATGTCGCTTTCAATCTTATTGCGTCTAATCCACCATTATCATCAGGTAGAAAGATTAGAATTTATTGAAATAAAGATTGCAACTACTGCCAGCGAATGTTCTTAACTATGCAAAATCAGGGAAACCGACATGAAAAGTCCAAATTTTCTAACTGTTCACTTTCAAACTGACAAATGTTTCAGTTTCTACATCAATAAAACAATTTATTCATACAGTTTTGCTTTTGGCTTGTTCTTACTGTTTTTTTTTCAAATGACAACTAAAAACTAAGCGTCAAGTATTGCAAAAGTATATTTTTCATTTGACTCCTAGTAAATTTCCTTTCATAATATTAATAATAATATTTAACAGGAGAATATTCACAACTGATTCGCTCAAAATAGTTCTATTGACCATAATATTATGCATTTTTAATAGAACCCGTGTGGAGATATTTTGCTTTTTTTGATCGAACGCTCTCTATAAATAAGAATTTTATCTTTCTTTTCTTCATAAGACTTATGCTGTAAAATAAAGATCAGAACAACGAGCAGCAGTTTTGAAATGCATAAGAATATTCGCGAACATTCTAGACTATTAAATTATCTAAATCGAAAGATTTTTTCGTTTTTTTTAGTCTTTTTGTTTTGTTTGACCCTAAAGGAATAGAGAAGCTGTCTAAAATAATCAATAATCGATTAGTACAACTATCTCGAGCACTACTTACATACTGCTCAATAATAAGTTATTTTAATGAGTTTTTGGTATTTCTCCCTCAACTCTTGTTCTACTGTTTGCATGTGCACTGATGGAAGAAAAGAACATAGAAAGTTTTCTCTACATCAATCGGATGAAATAAATAAGAAATTTAGATTCTTCCATTACATTCACGTTCAGATGAAACAAAAAAACTATGATTTCAAACCTGTTTCATTCTTGTTAGTCTTTCAATGGTTCAATCGTTATCTTTTCAACTCCATTTCAATTAGTTTGTACTAATAATTAAAGAAATACTTTTTTTGGTTTCTTTACTACCAATACATACAACATCGAAGTCACTGCTAGCATCAAACATATTTTTGTTAATATAATCAACTTTCATATGTTTATACAAGTCACCATTTCAATTAAATTCTCGAATACTTATTTTAATATAATTCTTGACTAACTCAAATTATTTGAGATCCCTTATTATTAAACTCTCGTTTCATTTAAATATAATTAGTACAATCACTTATAGTATGGTCAATAGTCAGTCAAATATTGACACATTTATGCAGATCATTCTGCTAATATATCTCTACGAAAAACAATTCATATTTTATAGATAGATAGTAACACATCTTCCTCGGCACTAAGAACCAAACTATTTTTTATCGTCTACTTGATTCTTTATTGATAGATTTAGATTATTTAATGAAAGAAAAAGCTAACACTACTTCATGTTGAATATTTTAATGCTAACTAAATGGTTTTAAACGAATCATGTTTACTTATCATGAACAAAAATAAAGATGAATACAGAGTTGTAAAGACAATTGATCGAATCATACTTATTTTTCAGCGTTAATCAAATTAATCGTTTAGATTTAGCAAAAAGAAAATTAAATTTTTTTATCATAAAACGAATTGACTGCTACAGATATTTGAATAACTTGATGTTAATTGTGTAACTGTAGAGCTGTAAAAAAAACAATGACAATGTCTTACTTCTATGAACAATATGATAAAACCTAGTCCTATGAAAGCCAAAGAAAATGCGATAATAATAAAAGCTACTTACCTCGAACAAAAAAAAATCATCTATACATTTCAATTACAACAAAACGCCATATTTTTTATCTAAAATTAAGATATTTCAAATTATTTATTAATTGAATGAACAATAAATCTAAATAGCACAAAACAATCATAAGATATAAACAAAGATTATTTCTAACTGCTAGATATTATTTCACTTCTCTGTTTTAGTTTTTCGATTAATTGTACGAATCGTGACACACTTATCATAGTTCATCTTCTTTGAAGGCAGATCAGAAATATTCTTATGATACATAAAAGATGTTTTCTTGTGTAGTTTAGTATAGATACATCCTAGATGATCAATTCTTCTTGTGCAATATATTTCATAGCTGATTTTGGAAAATATTCCTTCCACGAATATAAACTATACACAATAAACTATTTTCATGCTTTCAACATGCCCAACGATTAAAAATCAATTTGCACAGAGGCCTGAAAAATGAACTCAGTTAGAGTTTCTTCTTTCTACGAGAACAGCGAAACATAAATTTACATTTTATGAATAGAATCATTTGAAGATAATTAAATTCACTTTATAAAAGACAATGTATTCTTTTAAAGAAGTTAAAATAGTCAATTTTAATGTTACAATTGTGGTCATCCTAAAAGATCATTAATATCTAGCGAACGTAATTTTTAACAAGAGTCGTCGAACACAGTTTTCTAGAATATCATCTAAATATTTCTATGTAAGTCAAAAAAACAAGAATAATCATTATTACTACGACAAAAGTTGCTTCAAAAAGTCTTCTTTAATCTCACAAATGTCAACCTAAATCGGTAAAATGATTGTTTCCAGGAAAAAAAATGAAATAACAAAAAATCTTTGTTCTGACATTTGATAGAAATTCTAAGAAGTTAAAATATGAAACATGATTGATTTACTACTACGTATCATAGGAGAATTGTTTTGTTCAATCTATTTCACGATATAGATTTGTATCATTTTTCTACTTTGTCCTTCAGAAATTTAATGAGGGAGTAAATCCTATTTTAAAACGTGAGCTTATCATGCATAGACTATTTTGGGTTGTATCTCAACAGTTCTTTCTCACGTGTGATCAACGAGAGTGAAGTGCAAATTTCTACTCTATGCTTTGTTGTAACAAATGCTCGATACAGAATGATAGAATCAATATTTTCTCAATATCCTTTCTAGGTTTCATCGATTTGTGCTACGTTTTTTTCTGAAAATAATTAGCAGTTGCTTCTCTACAAAATCTAAATTGAAGTATCACCTTTGCAGAACTTCAGCGTCTCTATTGCTTGCGTACAATTAAGAACTTTCATAAGGGTGGGTGTGGGTGTGGGTGTGAAGAGAGATAACAACACCCACACCCTCAAGAAAATCGAATACCACTAGTAGTTCTAGCGGAGACACATGTGTATGATATCATAGGAAATCAAATGGTAAATTTTTTGAAAAGAAATAAAGCTAGTAAAACTTATCCTGTAGCTATTGTAAAATATCATATTTAATCGTAGAGAATAATGTAAGCGATTATGCTCGTAATCTGGAATAGAAAAATTTCTACGTCATTACATTACACTTATCAAAATTGCTTTGAAAGCAAGTATAAGTTTATAATTAGGAGTATTTTCTAATAATAAAAGAAACATAGATTTATTTTTAAATTGAAAATTTGTTTATTAATATACGAACCAACGTGCAAAAGTTTATCACAGAAAAAAAATTGAAAATAGATGTATTAAATTGTTAAATACAACGCTTCAAAAGCAGTATATGTATATATATATTTGGATGAAAAAACAAATGTATCAAGAAAATAATGTTTTAAATTCGTTCGATATCGATAATGTCTTCATCCGCAGCTGATGTTCTTGGAATAGTTTTGTTTTTTTCCTCTTTCGTGTTCTTCTTCTTCTTTTGTTGTGGACTTAATTTTTTCACTGCATTTTCTCTCAATTTTTTTTTATTTGCAAGATTACTGTCCCGTATGAATACAAGCTAAAAAAAATATCAAACAAACAGATCAACATTTTATGAAAGAATAAAAAGTAGAAGGGTATTATTTTTATATTACTTGTTTTTCAGCTAATTCTTCATGTCGTAATTTATAGGCAATAACAATGAACGTAGCAATAAGAAAATAAATAAAACCAGGTGATGTTATAAAATTAATTATTGATATCCATAAAACAGATGTTTGATGTTCATTTAAAAAAAATTCAATCACTTGGTATGCAGCACTTAGCTGACGAAACGGTCCGCAATTTTCACTTGGTTTAACTACTGTTGTAAACACGACGAAACATGTTACACTTAAAATTAATATAAGACAAGCTAGTAAATATATTAAATATTCAAGATGATCACCATTCCAAATGAATACACGTCGATAGGAATCTGAACGACGAGAATGAATATAAATATATAAACGATGAGAAATAAATGAAAACATGATATTTAATAAGACCATTATCGATAAAAGAGGAGAAAAATATATTCCAAACCATATTAATAATTGACTGTAGAGTAATACAGGTGGACTTAATTGAACATGAAGATTAATCCCATCAAAATTACGATTTGTTTTATTCGGTATTAAATCAATGATAATACCAAAACAAATTGGAAAGATTAATGATGCAAACATATCTATAAGAAATGTTTGATATTTGTTTTTTTATAAGAGGATTTTAAATATTTACCTGCTAATAGTAGAATATAGATATATTGTCCATAAGCTGTTTCATAGCATGAAGGAGTATTAGTAAAAAAATGTATGGTAAACGATAGGATCGTACAGATGTTTAAAAAGACGCATCTAAATTACAAATATATGATCTACGATGAAACTATAGAAATAAATTCGAAAAAATCTCTGAACTTCAAATCGAAATGACAACTATATTTAGATATGTAGAAACAACATGATATCATTCTTGTCATCCTTAATTGTTTTCCTTCTGTGCAACTATTTTATTCCTAGTGAATTTGGGCACCACTGTGTAAATATGTACTGAAACTAGCGTCGATTATACTGATTCTGAAAGTAGATTCCGATCTAGAGAAAATGGTTATAGAGTTTATTCGTGTCACATTTGAAGAAAAATGAAAGAATTCTGTATCTCTTGTTCGTTTTATTTATTTAGTTGACAACTAGTATTTTCTTCTAGCTTCTCCTTTTTGGAACCCTGTTCAAATTCGGAATGATGTCATTTTGGTATCATCGACTTAAAACTGCAGAGTATTTCACTGCTATATTTGCTTTAAGTTTACTCGAGCTGTAGTTAAATAAGAGACTGACTAATATTAATTAGTCAGTTTTACTAATATAAGATGGCAAAAATAAAATACTAGACCTATTTAAGTGCACAAAACTATTTTCAAACAAACAATTTTCATCACTAACATTTTAAATAGATCATTAAAGTTGAAATATTAGTATTTTCAATTTTTTTCTTTTGTTTTAAAATATTTTAAAATACTAACCTAAACCCTACAACATTTAATTTATATGATAAATATTTGTATTGTTCAATTTGCGTAAGAAGAACAATAACATATGGTATTAATCGATTGATTAAAGCTAAATAAATAATTGATCCACTGCAATCAATCGTTGGTTTATCACAGAAAGATAAAATTAGCCAGTTGAGTCCACCTTTAAGATCGAAAACGAAAGAAAAATTATTTATTCAAATTGGCTTTCTTTTCTTTGTTTACCTAATGCAATAGCTAATAGAATGTAAAATAAATTTGTTATTACTATTTTAAATTTATATTGAGATGTTTCAAATTTTTTCAAAAGAATTCTATCAATTGTTTCATCGTTTTCAATTAAATCCAAAAATTGCCTTTGTAAAGCTTCCGTATGTTTTTGTTTTTGGTTTGATGATCGAATTGTATAATTGTATCGTGCAAATGTACCCGTAAATCCAATGCCAAGTTTTGTATGTAATATTGAATTAAACACTTTTCGCTTATATGTTGTTGAAAAACGTATTGTAATAAAAACAAACCAAATAAAAAAATAGAAATATGTCGTTACAAAATATATAAGCGATAAATTATATTTCTCATTGATTATTCCTTTAGGATAAGAGCCTTGAAACAGAATTGATTGAGATAAATAACCTTCTGTTGTAAATATTGATGAAAATGAAAGTGTAACATTTAAAGATGTTGCTGAAGGTTTTAAAATATTATATGGAATTATAATTAGCGCAATCCAAATGATCATTGTCAATAAATTCACAAGAAAAAATGCGGTTTGAAGATGAAATATAGCACAAACACCAGTACCATATAGTCGTTCGACTGGAGAGACGGTTGGAATGAACGTCCCAAAACGACGGTTTCGTTTTATATTTATTGTTGGATCAAATACGAAATTAGCGATATGATCAAGCTTATCCTGATTATCGCTTGCATTACTTTGCACTTCATGAAGAAGTAACCGCCTGTGTGAAAGTGGCCAATCAAGTTTTACTTGAATATAATCAATCACTTTTGAAATGTCACCATCGAACTCATTTGATAAAGCTTCAGCTGTAGCACGATATATTCCTGAAAAGATATAAATAAAAATGAAAAATACTGATCGTGTTCCAGTTACAAATGACTTTCTATTTTTCTATCGAAGATTAAAGTCTATTTAAATTGGATATTGATCGATTTTCAATTTGAAGTTAAAATCAAATAACTAACAAAACGAGCTGAAAACATTAAATCCTATCACGATTACTTTTGAAACAACCTTAGTGAAACATTTTGATCAATGCCTAGCATCGCTTTGACAAATACTGAACTACTGATCCAGATGAGAGATCATATTTAACAGACCGACATTAAAACTGAACTTGTCGAATTCTATTTTAAATTACGTCAAAACAAAATGACTCTTGTAAAACCACAGAGAAATTTAAATCATCTTCGAAAGGAAAACGGAAAAAATTAACTTTAAGACTTTATTAGGATCAGTTATATACAATTATGAATTTATTCTCCTCAATATATTCTTGATGATTTTAATTAGTTTCGATTTCCAAACAAGAGTAACTTCAACAGAAGTAAATCATATTTTTCTTTCAATCCTTTAGAATCTGTCACGATGTGTTAAATATTCTTGCATAGATTAAATATATGTTTTGAAATAAAATTCTCTTAATTATTTCATTGTCTAAACAGTTAAAATATGAATAGTTTTTTTTACTGAAAAAGTAATCAGCAGTAATTTGGTTTCCTTAAGGTAATACTTTTAATCTTGATTAATTATTTACTCTAATGAATTGTTTTGACTTTTAAAATTCTATCGTATTTCCCTTACCCGACGCCTTTTTCGGTCGATCTTCCAATAACTTTCGATGTTGTTGATCAACGAAATTTTGCAAATTCTGCGCATGTCGTGCAGTTTCTGTTATCTCAGCTTCCATCTAGAACTCCTACGAAACGAATGAAAAAGTATTTCTTTTTGGTTGGTAACGGCCACAATATATAATATCGAACAAAAAAAGAAAAACGGTGAAAATAAGATCAGTTCGAATGTTATTTTCTATGTTTACGATTGAGTAATTCTTCGTAGAAGATAAGGAAGAAAAAGTTGATAAACGATAGCAAACTTTTTTTTTATACAAAAAAAAAAGAACAGCAAAGAAAAACATGATAACAAAACATCAACAAGAGAATATAACGATTGGACTAGTTGAAAGTAAAATCTTTCTTCAGTATTTTTATTCAATGACACATACACCGCCAGCTGCTTCAATTTTAGCTTTCATGGTTTCAGCATCTGCTTTACTTAGATTATCTCGTAGAACTTGAGGAATTGATTCAACCAATTTTTTTGCCTAAAGACAATCAAATCGATGACTACAAATAGAATGTGAACAAATAAAAAAGAAACACTTACTTGAACAAGATTAATGTTTTCAACAACATCTTTTACTTGTTTGATAACCGGTACTTTCTTTGTATCATCAAATTTAATTAAACGTACTTTAAATACAGATTGAGATGTAGGTCGTGCACTTATGTCTTCGTCTTCTTCTTCCTTTTTCTGAAATCAATAAGAAAACTATTGTACACGAACAATTGATATACAAGTGAATTGCGAACTGTTTTTGTACGATTGAGACATAAAGACTAATTTCTCTATTGTCCTTCTTCTCTTATTTTAATTTCTGTGTCAACAATTCACATGAGTTTTTATTTGTCGATCACGTATTAAACAACATTGCGAATCTAATTGATATAAGGCTGATGCCATATCGTACGACTCATATTTTCGACAATATCAATAATTTCATTCAAATCTAAATAATGATTTGAGGTAGCTAATTCAGTTCTTTAGTAAAAGTACTCAGTAAGAAAAGCTCTAAGAGCGACTAGGACAGAAGGATCTCTGAGATGATCAATATGATAGTGTTACATTTCTAGACACCTATGTAAAGTTTTCAAGTGTAATATTGTAAACAGAACAAAATAATGATTCATTATATTTCTTAGTAACTTATCTCAGAATTGTAACTTCATGAACATCAGTAAAAAAGCATGTTAGATTTAATTGATATTTTGATAGATTTCGCTTCCATTTTTCATTTTTACTACGCTTATAACGTTTTAAAAAAATTCATGAAAAATCTATCAATGACTACTGTGTGATTCAGAAATTTCTGCTTTAGAAAGTTTCCCTCACAGCAAGTAATTCCCATTGATTCTTCTTAAATCCATAAATTAACATCTTTAATTTTTCAGTTCTGCTCATAATGTATAGACATAGTCGACGTACACCTACAATTCAGATATAAAATAGTGAGACTCAGTGGGCAGTGAATCAAAGTCTATATTTTATGCTTCAATCTTTGTAAAATCCTATTATTAAAATTGTATGTGACCGTATTTCAAACTCTCTCATTATAGAATACCTTGACTTCATTGAATATTTTCCAATTCTAATAATAGAATATCAACAAATACAGTCTACAGTTTTGAATTATAATTGTATCTATTCACTTTTGTAACTTCTTTTATACATTAGTGTCGCTATGCTCAGAGGCATCGTCACTGTCAATTACTATTGACTTTTCTATTTTAAACTGAACATTACAGTTCAATCAGTTGCATTACTGTTCATCGTTGGCTAAGATTTGCGTTGAAAAACGATTCTACCGAACTTAAGCCACAAGATTTAATTGACTTTAAAAGTCTTCTAGTGGCATCTTCCCGCTGTATATTTAATATCAATACATCATCTGCTTTTTTTGAAAGATTTCGAAAACGATCAAGCAAAAAGAACGGATGCTATTTAAACGAGGATCCGATGAGTGTTCATCGACGAGCGAATAAGGATTCCTACTCGGATTCCCAATCATTTTTTAGCTACTAAAATTTAAAAAAATAGAATATCTACGATATTTTTTAATCTTCCATTTGTTCTCATTAAACAACTGATGAACATGAATGTATGAGTGTGAAAGTTAGTTTGAGAGATAGCTTCACATTGACACTCATATATGAAAGAACTAACAGTCGATGTCAGAGCCCTCAAAGAATTATTACATCAATCCTAATTGTTACTCAACAGATTAGGAAGTTCTGTCTCTCAATTCTTTGGCAGCTGTCGTCGACGGCAATTTGTTTGTTTCATATTAGATCTCATAATGAGTACAATAAAAATGCAATTCGCTCATAGAAAGAATCAGACGTACCGATGCAGCTGGTGATAGTATAGCACTGCCTCCTCCCGATGCCACAATCGGCACGTCTTGTATCTTGAGCGTTTTCTATAGAAAAATAGAAGGGAAAACAATGGATTTTTTTAAATTTCAAATTATGAGACAGAAATTTCTCGTTAAATTAAAATATTTACTTTCAATAATTCATTCAAATCCATAACTTCAACCAACGACAATGTACTTATTTCATCAACAATTCGATGAAGTTTTTCCGAATACACTTTAGTTAGATCAGAAACATTTGTAGCTGAAGAATTTACTGTTTTATCTGATGATGATGATGATGATTTTTTTGTTTCATCTGCTTTTTCTATATTCGTTTTTGTTGATAGTGTTTCAAGATTTGTACTAGGTGTTTCTTTTAATTTTGTTGCAGCAGTTGAGTGAACTTGTGTTAAAGATAGAAAACGATTATAAATTAATAATGGTACAGGATGTCGAATTGATCGAAATATCAAACGAGAACACATTTTCTTTCTTTCTTTTCTTAATTATCAATTATTTCAGTAAGAAAAAAGATTGCTTGTTAAAACATGAATTAATCTTTTATTTTATCGAACATAAAATTAATCTAACTGGCTGACAAAAATAAGCAATGATAGATCAATATGAAAAATTTCAGAGGACATAATAAAATTTTAATGGCAGAACACTACATCTTATTGATGAAATATTATCCAATAAAAATGCAACTACATTCTGCCTGTCTGTTTGTCCGTGCGCGCGCACGTCTGCTGATGACAAGACGCAGTCGAGGAAGCAAGTAGAAAATCAATATATATTAAACAAAGCAAAAAATACAAAACAGAAGATATTCTCGAAAGATTATTGATCATTATTTTATAATCAATTATAGAATGCCCACAGCATTGCGACAAAAAATTGCTGTTTATTGTTTGTTCATGTAAATTATTTATTTATTTATTAGAGAAAAAAATAATAAATTTTTGAAATTTGTTTTCTTCTTCTAGTCGTCGTTTTGTTGTCCATGGGCCAGTGTATTGAAAAATCTCGTTCAGACAGAAGATTGATGTCACATAACAATAATAATAATTATAATTATAATTATTCATCCGTTTCAACAAAACACGTTAAGAAAAAAGCTAAACAAGACGCATCCGAACAACAATCAAATCAATATCGTCATTCATACAGACAAATGAATACAACAACTACAACATTGGAGCCTCGTCGTGATTTGCCATTACATAAAATTCCTGAACTTCTCGCCAAAATAACTGGAACATTATCATCCACTCTTTCGCCATCATCAGATACAAAACAGTCCTCATTATTTACATCTTCATCATCTAATTGTACTTCAAACTTAATTAATCATCGTTTAGAATTATTTAAACGTTATTCTAATGATGATCAAATAATGTCTGTTGAAGGTATTCTTCGTCTTTGTAATGATTTATCTTTAGAACCGGATTGTTATGAAGTACTTTTATTTTGTTTCGTATGTCGTGCTAAACAAATGTATTCATTAACTAAAGATGAATTTCTTCTTGGTCTCAAAACACTTGGAAATCATGTCGATAATTTATTAGATCTTCGAACATCATTATATATTTATGATATATTACCATTTGAAGATGAATTTTATACTTGGACATATCATTATGGTTTAATTGATGGACAACGCTGTGTAACAACACAAAATGCTATTAGTTTATGGCGTTTATTTTATTCAAAAGGAATAAAAAAACCTCAAATACTTGAACAATGGTTGAACTATTTAGAAAAAGATATCAACAATGAAATACCAAAAACAATCACATGTGATACTTGGACAATATTTCCACAGTTTGCTAAATTTATTGAATTAAATGGATACCAAGCTTACGATGATAATGAAGCATGGCCATGTTTATTTGATGGGTTTGTTGAATATCAACTAGAACAACAAAAGACAATGTCATCGGCGATGGGTTAAAAATTATTTAGTGATCGATTTTTGCAAATATCTTTTTCTTTTATCTTTTGAAAATAAATATAAAAAAAACACCAGAAAATGTTCAGTCTTTTATTTGCCCGGATTATCTTTTTCTTTTGTTTGACTTTGATAAGACTTGACAAAGAAAACAAAAAACCGTTAAATAGATAGACTTAAATAAATATATATATAGTTGTTAATGGAGTTATGAATTTTCCCTTCGAACTGTAAAATGTATCCTGGTAATCAGACGAAAGAAGTTTGAAATAAAATTTTTATTGTTATGTTGATCATCAAAGTTATTTGCAATGCCTTCCATCTAATTAAATGTTTTATTAACTCAAGTTACTTAATTTATTACAAAAGAATCGGTATCTTTAGTAACTATTGCATAGGTAAATCTTGTTATAGAATTTGTTTCGAAATATCGAACCTGTTTTTATTCTTACTCAAACCAAAAGAGATGTATCCATCAGACATTCGACAATGCTTTGTCAAATATCAACAGTATAGGACAAGATCAGTTCTTCGATATTTTTTCATGAATAATTCTTATAAAGTAGTCTTCATCACCGTTTTTATTTATTAGATACATGATTAGCTATTTTGAATTATTTAGCAGATAAAATTATTCTTAGAAATAAAGTAATGTTCTCTCTTGATTAGTACTTATAGAAAATGAATCTTTCATTTTTTGTTTTGAATAAATAAGTAAGTCATATATTTCGAAGAAAGTTTTAAATTAAACGTTTGTGCGAATGCAATGCTATCCATTTTCTCATGTGTAGATGTTTAGAAATGTTTTCCAGTTCTTTCTTAAATATTCTTCTAAAAACATCTGCTTCACCTAATTATTTTTTGCTTAAATCATTATTCTAAAAGATAAAAATAATTCTTTGCTTCTCCAATAGTTCATAGTACAAAATCAACTACTAATGTTTTCATTATGGTGATTCATACATGAGTATATTTATGTAGTAAAAAAATCAACAGCTATAGAATTAGATTTATGCCTGCTTTTTTCTCGTTCTTTGTTTATAATCATATCACCGGTAAACTTACTGATGATGATTCATGTTTCTACTTCCATCTTGTCTTTTGTTCATTCTAGATGTAATGTTCTTTCATTGAACGATTCAATCATTCAGATAGCGTGAGAAAACAGTAAGTTTGTCGGAAATCGTATGAAAAATAAAATATAAAATGAATTTATTATATTTTATTTTATTTTAGTGAACAAGCCACCCCTTAAACTCAATTTGAAACCATTAAATTTTGAAGAACCAACTAAAACTAATACAGAAAAGCAGCCTTTCGTTTCGAAAGATATTAATCCTACTTCGTAAGTGATTTTCTTTTTACTTCTATTCAAAACCTAGGCAATCAATTATTTTATATAACGATGAATAGTAAACGATTCATGTAAAAGAACGCAAAAAACGGACGATAGCTGAGAATTCAATATAAAATATTGGTTGTGATAGATAAAGAAATATTTTCAAAATAAAAGAGAAGTTGAAAATCAATATTGTCAAAGAATTATTATATCTATATGAAAGTTTGAATGTCACGTATTCACCTCTGTAAACAATTATTAACTTGAAATGTGACATTTTCTGTACTCAAAGACTTCCATGTGATTTATTCATAAGGAAATTTGAAAAATAAAAACTGATATTTTGTATGAAAATGATATCCTTTTAGGTGTATGTATATTCATAAAAATAATAATTCTATGACAAACATTCTGCGTGATAAACAACCTCAATTATCTGGAGAATATGACCAAAAGTAACTTTATTATAACATTAATAGTCTAAACTCGATCTGTAATACTTTGAAAATATAAAATAAATAGTCTTATAGTTTTACATGAATTGCGTTAGAAATTCTTACATTTTAAATATCTGTTGAGATAATTAATACTGATCTTCTAGTTCGATTGCATTTTTCCTAATTGAATAATCGAAAAATTGAAATTTTTATTATTTGTCTTTATTCAATATTAGTAGCCGACCAACTTCATCAACATCAAATCATCGTGACCTCAGCACTGGTCAACTTCATTTGTCGGATACAAAAGTTCGTTGTTCTAAAACAATTGATTTTTATTCTTTTTATATTGCTCTAGATCTATAAATTTACATCAAATGATTTGATTGATCGTGGTATTGTTGGCGAAGGCAATTTTGGAATCGTTTGCAAAATGGAACATGAAAAAAGTGGAACGATAATGGCTGTAAAAGTAAATCAAATAAAGATTATCTTCATTCTGATTGAAAAAAAACTTTCTTTTTTTGTATTTCCATTTAGCGAATTCGTTCAACTGTTGATGAAAGATGCCAGAAACAAATGCTCAATGAATTAGATATTGTTATGCGTGAAAATACTTGTCCACATATTGTCAAATTCTTTGGTGCACTCTTTAAAGAGGGAGATTGTTGGATATGCATGGAACTGATGGATACATCACTTGATCGTTTTTATAAATTTGTTTATCATAAACTGCATCAATGCATACCTGAAAGTGTTCTTGCATATATAACCCTTGCTGTAAGATAATTTTATTGGTTTTTGGAACAAATATATTTAGTTTGTTTCGAATTTTCTTTTTCTAGACATTAGAGGCTCTTGATTACATAAAATCTCGTTGGCAAATTATTCATCGAGATGTCAAACCATCAAATATATTAGTTTCTCGATCGGCTATTAAACTTTGTGATTTCGGTATCAGTGGCCAATTAATTGATTCTATTGCTAAAACTCGTGATGCTGGTTGTCGACCATATTTACCAGTATGATTCATAATTTTATCTGTAACGTAAACATATTTTCATATATTTAGCCTGAACGTATTGATCCATTGAGAGCTACACGTGATGGTTATGATGTTCGATCCGATGTTTGGTCACTTGGCATTACTATTGTAAGATTTGTTTTGATGGATTAAAAAAATAAATTGTATTCATTTATGTGTTTTCTAGTATGAAATTTCTACTGGATATTTTCCATTTCGAGAATGGACATCTGTATTCGATCAATTACAACAAATTGTTGAAGGTCCTCCACTACGACTGAATGTCGACCGTCTTTCAAATAATTGCAAAGATTTTGTAAATACTTGGTATAACAATGTTTTTCTTGTTTAGAAAACTTTCTTTAATTCCATTTTGATTTGTTTAGTTTAAATAAAGATGAAAATCAAAGGCCAAAATACAAAACATTATTAGAGCATCAGTTTGTACGAAAAGCAACAACACCACAACAAATTGAAAATACAACTGCTTATTTGTCCGAAATAGTCGATGGACTCTCGGAAAATACCGATACATTTGAACTCTACTATTATTTACCATCGGATACTGCAGCATCATTTAATTCTCGGTGACTAAGCTGTACTATTGAATGAATTGATCTTTTCTTGGTTATTTATTTGTATTTCAAAGTAGACATCAAGTCAAAAAAGACTTCTTTTTCTATAACACTTTTTTTCTCCTATATCTTTCGAGAAGTACGTTTTTTCCTTGTAAGATCATTTCCTTGCACTTATTTTATGCTGATGTTGTCAATCGTTTGCTGTTGTTGTTGTTTTCTTCTTCTTCATTCTCTTTGATAGAACAATTCCTTTTTTTTATTATTGCGCAATGCTCTATCTGTTGTATTTGTGTAAAGGTCATAATTGATGAATATCTACTACAAAAACAAAGAAAAAGCGTCATTCAATAGTTAATTAGTTAAAATTAAAGTTAACATTCATTATTATCAATCTTTATCAGATGAAATATTTGCAGATAATGTGAAGGTCAATCTAGGCAGCGATATTTTTTTTAAGTAGTAATGCTTAGATAAAGAAATATGAAGATAAATGTGACATTAGAGAAATGATAATCCGACTGCAATAATTCAAGACAACAGGTCCTGTGACACTTATTTTCAAACGAAAGTTGTTGCCTTGATTATAATTGAGGTTAGGGAAAAATTCGACATTCTTATCTGCTTCGATTAATAGTTGATAGATTAGCTTTACTGAAATATTATCTCAGCAGAAAAAAAACACGTAGAAAACCTGTACAAAAGTAGGCAAGCAGCTGGCTAAAATTCAATAGTCGTTTAATTTAGGAAAGCTATTTTCGTAACTGTGAAAATATATTAAATATAACGTAGTAGGTACGATGGGGAACAAATGCCTCCAACGTAGCATACCAATCAATCGAGATACATTGCAAAAAATGTTTTCCTTTTCCTATTTACGTATGACATTCGTACATTCTCTGTGCCTCATCTTGATACGATTTTGAACATCGTTTTGCAAGTCTAAGAAGTTGCATTTTATGAAGTATCTATACTTGTAATAAATGTTTTAGTAAATGTTCAAATACATAACTGTGAAACATAGCTAGTAGTAATAATTCACGAACTTGAAAATTTAGACGAAGACTGTTAATTTCTTCATACAGTAAAAATTAGTGTATAGAATTACATGTTGATTTGTATTGTATTGTTTTGTGAGTTTAATTTAGCGCAAAACTATTCTTTCGAAATTATTTCGTTGTGATTTTAATAATTGAGTAAGGACATTAAGAATCTATTCTCATAATATTTTAACTTAGTTATAATTAATGATCAAACCACGTTGTGGATTCAATACATGCATATGTGACTTCGCTAATAATCTAGCTTGAATGATTTGAAACATCTTAGCAGATACGTTTTCTTAGTTGATGTTCGAAAAAGTAATTTTTAAGTTGGCAGCTCATCAAAATAAATAGTTTGCCTTTTGGTAAATATGTCTTTTTGATTAAATACTAGCTTATAAAACCTACTTTATCTTCCGTTTTGATGAACGATTTTATTTGAATTATATCTATTTGAAATTGTAACACTATTGCTAGATATAGAGCTAATGATAGTCATCTAAATGATGCTTCATTAAACACTTTCAACTTTAAGTTATCAGCTATAGAGGAAAAAACCACCCACACCCTTCAGATTGGATTTAGTCTTAACTGCAACCGTGCTCGTTCAATCAATAAAATGAGATAGAACTAATTTAAAAGCGAGACATTCATATATGATTATAGTAATTCTATATACTATAGTGGAATAAATAAAACAAAAACTGAAAATCTCAAGATATACTAAAGAAAAAGTCAACTGTGCTTCGAATTATTTGTACACGACTTCTAGATTATCCTAGATTTGAGCTACTTCGATAATAATCCACATATCTAAAAACAAGCACTTGAAAATTTATTCAAGTACCTGATAATGTATGAACTGATAGGAAAAATTTAACTACCAGTTGATGAATGCCTTTTAATGTTGCAGTCTTTGAACATCAAACGAATCATATGACATTGTTGTTTTTCATAAGATATGTTGTGAACTGCAATTTGAAAAAATGGACGAAAAAAAATCTTGTTCAAATGGATATGAATAAAAACAAAAAGAACTAAAAACTAAAGAAAAACACGAAGCAGTCAGATGCCGTCTCATTCTTACAAGGAGTAACATTATAGCTCACAATTTTCACAAACAGTAGTAAATGCTTCATATCATCATGGAGACATAAGAATATAGTATATAATTATATAATCGATAATTACAGACTGTCTATCTTGTAATTCGACGTAATTTTTGTTTGGCCACTGATTTCTCTATTCTTTGGCAGCAAAGTCATAGTAAATTAGAAACTATTTGATGAATCTCCGCAAAAAATATAACTATGATATATTGGAATAGATTTTTCTTTTAAAAAATATTCATTCTCAATTTCATCAAATTTACATCACTCGACAGAACTTGTCACATCGTATCTGATTAAATGAATGGAATAAATGTTTTTTTGAAAAAAATCCAGAACATCTGCTAACTCAACTTGCATAAATAAATTTGATAAAATTAGTATGATTCATTTCCTAATCATCAACTTTCTTAATGATAATGTCAATTGGATATAATAAGTTTGACATGATAAGTAAAATATTGCTCTTAAATAAATCTATTTTCTTATCTATGTCGGTAAGTTCATCTATTAGAACAATATGAAAAGAAAGTAATTCAAAATAGATTGGAATCTTATGAATAAACTTGTTGTACATATTATTTTAATAGAACATGTAGTAATTGGAAAAGATTCGTAAATTTAGAAGAATTTGTAAAGTTCGAACTTTACAAGTTACGAAGCATTGAATTTTGTGAAACACGACCTGAAAGGAGTGTTGAAGTGTTTAGAGTAGAAATTTGGACCCACCCCCTGTCCCCCCACAGACCGTTACCTACAGGTGATCCCCCCGTCACAGACCGTTACCGACAGGCGATTCCTTCATCACCGTTACCGACCGGTGTTTCCCCTATCACAGACCGTTACAGACAGGTGATGCCCCGCATCACAAATTATTACAGGCAAGTGAAGATGTGTTCAAGGATTAATGGTAGGAGTTTGAATTCCATCCACATATATTTAATTAATTAAATAATTACAGCCTAATTAATTAATTACCTTTATACATTCTCAGATAGAAGGCTTGGATCCATCAGAAACGCTATTAGAAATACAACGAGAATAGAGAGGCGAAGCCACGATTATAATAAACCTCGATAAACATCTCTGGATCTCAGCATACGCTGTGATAGACCCTATCACTGTACAAGTAAGAACCAGATAACGACACTATATCGATAAAATCGATGACCTGCTTACGTTTTCCACTTGCACCTGATGCATTACAGTATAATGACAGAAAAGTCGGGAAATAGACAGAACAATACTCTTTTATTAAAAAAATCAACAGTTATGTTGTGTTTCACATTTTAATCCCGAAGGGATTGCGCTAACAGCTTTTTGTTTTCAGTGTAGTGCCCCATGTAAATTATTGCACAAATCAATGAATGCTATTATCAATGAAATAGTCATATGTCTTTTAATTTAAGAAAATCTCAATCAAGATTTAATTACCATTGCTTTAGATTCATGTAATAATGATCCAATCTGGAGTCACTGCAGTTTGCCAGGATACAGTAATTTATATATTCACATGTCTCGACTTGAGGGTTTGATGATCTCAATCTTGATTTACTGCGGTTGGTTGGGTTAGAATAATTCATATATGCATACGGGTGTGAGGGTGTGTTTTAACGATATATACATATATGGGTCATTCCACCAGAAATCGCCAGTCCATCCGGCGACCACGTCCAAATTTCTTGGAACTTTCAGGATTTGTAGAGAATTTTTCGCTGATCATTTCGACACTAAACTTTTCCAAAATAAACTCTTTTTTCACGAAGATATAGGTCAAATACAAAAAAGGCACTTTCTCAGAAAAAATTGCATTTTTTTCGAAAAACCGATGAAAGTTCCCCGTACTTCACTCGAATTTTAAAACCAACCACATATTCAGATTCCTCGTGAAAACTGCATCTGAATTAATAGGAATTAAAAAACTTTTGAAGAAATTTATATGATCCATTCGATTCACCAGAAAAAATATTGTTTGAAAAATTTTCTCAAGAAGTTGCGATGAACCAAAATATTGGCGTTACCAGTTCGATAGAGAAAAATTTTCTCTACAAGATGCACTATTTTTTTCAGCTCCCACTCTAAATTTAGTAAGCAACAAGCGCCGACAATACTTTAGATTGTAATTTTTCAGAAAAATTTTGACTAATTGATTCATAAAATCTAAGCACTTGGTTCAATTACTATTTACAACTTTTAGAAGTTGTAGAACTGTTTCTGCTGATCATTTTCGTAGTAAATTATTCAATATTCGATATTATTTACATTGCGATTTGGGTCAAATAATATCAATCACTGTTACCTCCTTTTGAAATTATGCATAAAAACCGATACTTCTTTCTCAAAACAAAAGTGATAGCGTAAAACTATTTATGAAAATTCGAAGGCTACTTAAAAATGCTGACGGCGCATAAAAAATGGTGGGTGTGGGTGTGGATCTGTGTCAACATGGGTATCGATGAGCAGATCTCTAGTCAAAGAGGAAAAAGCGGCTCCTTGCTCCTTGGATTCTGGCGGCTTCTCGTGGATCCTGGTGGATATTTGAAGATATGTAAATATCAGTATCTACTCCTTATCACTGTCGCTTACTTTTTGTTTAGTCGGAAATAATGGCTTATCCAGTTAGACAAAGCTGCTTTTTAAGGTTTTCTATTGTAGCTTCTTAGCATGACATTCGTCTTCGCAACATAAAGTCTCGTAATCATTAACATCCTGTAAAAGGTTATCCAACAACTCTTTTAGCTGTCAAGGGAAAAGTTAAAAATATAACTTATAAATCACATGAAAAACATGAAATTTGAATCTTTTTTCATAAGAATATGGGATAGAGTGATGAATTTATTAGGGATCTTTCACATATTAGGTTATCACGTTTTATTGTCTTATGGAGCGTCTCCGTCTTTTGCGGTTACTTGTCACTTTCCCGAGGTTTCCTCCTTCCCTCTCCCCGAATGACATCATCAAAGTAATTTTCAAATGCTTTATGCAATATCTGATACAAAGACTAACAAATTAATTGAAAATCGTATGGCAAAACGAAGTCGATTGCTATTGTTCTTGATGATTCTGAGCTAGAAAGACGGCTCTTCGTGTAGGAGGAGCGACTAGAACAGTCTGAATCTTACTCTAACTCTAATCACTCAACAACAATCATGCAGATTTCGAATTGATCCATGTAACGATATATACGGAGAGTGTCCAAATTCCATCCGGGGGTGTACCGCTCCCGTTCGAGTGTAATCTATATATGATGTTTGGGAGTATGATGCCTGTTATTCTCATGGTACCTATTATCTTAATCTTTCTGTCCTTGATATTTCTCTTTATCTCTTATTCTCCTTCGTTCTCTCAAATGGTTGAGTATTTAAATGTGCGCTGTATACGTAATCAGGGCGATTTTATGATTTGAAGAGTTAAATAAAGCGCAATGCCATCAGCACAGACATATCTTCTATCTAAAAATCGTTACAATCCATGCCTAGAAAATGTATAATCTGTGATGAACAGCTGCTAAATGTGGTTTACTAAGAAAAACACAATAAAATTAACGGAAATAAGTTTAAATGGTTAGTTCTATTACTGATTACATAATGAGTTGGAATTTGAGGGTGTGGGTGTTATAACGTTTAAATATCGATACTGAGGGTGATAAGATTATAGCTAGTAGTATCAGGACTCCGGTTCCATTAGACTTTGTTTCCAAAGAGCAGAAACCCAATTGAATATTCTTTTTCACAAATTTTTGACAATTCAGAGATATTTACACATGCTTATTCTTACAGCTTGTATCAAGTTACTATGCTTTACTGAATTCCAATAAGCGGGAATCCATAATAGGCTCCTGAGCACTCAAAACTCAGACTAACTTTCGATTTTATATCTAAATACAGGAGCCTAGATCGGATTCATAAACTGTTAAGCGCCATCGTTAATACCAAGGGGGAACAAACTGATTTCGTGATTTCATGATTTCGCCTGGAGTTTTTGATTTCAAGTGATTTCAAGTGATTTCAAGTGATTTCAAGTGATTTCAAATAATTTCAGGTGATTTCAGATGATTTCAGATGATTTCAATTGATTTCAGGTGATTTCAAATAATTTCAGATGATTTCAATTGATTTCAGGTGATTTCAAGTGATTTCAAGTGATTTCAAGTTGATTTCGACGTCCGAAATCAGTTTGTTCCCCCTTGATCAGTCTAGAAGGCCTGTAGTTTTAATCATAAACTCTTTGTAACGGAACGACTAGCCGCCACCATTATTGGCTCAACTATATCAAGGAAAGAAAAATTCAGAATTTCAAAGAACTAATCAAACATTCGACTTCCTCGACGCCGATCATTTTCGATTAAACTTAATCAAAAAAATCTCTCTCTCCCTAAAAAAAGTGAAAAGAAAAATTTCAAAAAGCTAACGTCGGATTCAGATTCCTCGACCCGAAAAACCTTCGGTCACACTTTATTCGTCATTAACTCGAGACAGGTCAAAGAAGCATTTTTTCGTTCTCTGCGAACGAACACACGCACCAGGTTTACGTTTGCTTTTTTTTTATCATCTTTCTTGCTCGCCAGGCTTTATCAGTGCCATGAAGACGATCAAGTAAACCTATGCTGCCAAAATTGCCAGTAAATTGCGAATGATGAAAGTCGTGAAATGTTGCATTGATAATATTAATACCAAATGGACCTGGTATAGAATATCCTGAATGACCATGATTTGTGCTCACAAGTGCAACCAAAAGCCAAATCCATGTTGTTAATAAGTGAGATCGAAAGAGTAACGGACCAGCAGCGACAGGGCCAATGTTCGAAATGACAAATTCAATCGGATGAGCATATTCCGAAGCGAGACCGATTGGTGCTCGAAATTGATGATGTTGCTTATGTACGCGTTCATATATGAACGATGTATGCTATATGAAAACGGCAAAATAACTATGCATGATATGTAGCACATGTGCTATTTACAAGAAGAAGATGACTGTAATAAAAGAATACTTCAGTGGCAAGAACAAAGCCAAACAGTTCAAATATGATTCGATGCCTGGAAATAATAAGAGAGAAAAAGTGCGCAAGAGTCAAGACGTTATGTTGATAATATTCAAACAGTTGATGTTACCATGAGGGAAACGGTAAATACCATCGGACATTTAGATGCATAAATAATGGGCAAATGAAAAAGAGAAATGGAAGAAAAATATACAATTGATTGAACAAGACTGCTCGTGCACATTTTCGAATAGATTTCCAATCGACATGAATATCCTAAAGATACATCGTACTTTTTGATAATATTATGGATAATTAACACACCTTTTGTATTTTATATTTGTGTAATTGATTCGGCCAGAGAACGTCAGTGATAAGTAGAAGAATACCATTATGAATCCAAAAAATGAGTTGATGAAGTACAAATGTACCACCAATGATCATCCATGGATCTGACAACATCTTAATTTTTATTTTTGCACTGATATACACACGTCTGCAACTTTTCTCTTATCTGTCATCTGACTTGAAACAATATCTTTTATCATCATAAAACATTTATATGCAAGAATACAAATAGAGAAAAAAGAACAAAAATAGAACAACAACGCAAACTATAAACTATATCGTTCTCTTTTCTTTTATTTACGCAGTAAAACGAGATTTTTCGCTTTCTGAAGGTGAGCCGCAAGGGCGAGAGGCGGATTCCCGGGATTTCGAGGGTGGGTGTGGGTGTGGAACACTCACACCCTATTATAAACTAAACTAAGATGAAAAATAAATATTGCCACTAAGTAGCAGCACTACGATTAAATGAAAATTTAGATAACATGTTATATCAGATACCAATGTGACTTTTTGATATCTTTATTTATTGGAGATACCTTAACTGGAAAATATTACATTGCAGATTTGGCAAACATTTAAAATAAATTAAAACAAATATCATGTAGTCTATTTTGAATTGAAATATCTCAATGTATGAGATTTTTAAGTCGCACTACATAAACATTTTTATGTTTCAGAAAGCACAGTTCATGTGCATTTGTGTAAGTAACTGGTTATTATGGTCACATGAAGTTTCTCTCTTCTACATGACTGTTGACAGAAATAAAATTAAAAAAACAGCATCAGGTGTTAATGTGCTTTCCATGTGCTCTCCTATCTGAAAAATTGGAGTGAATTCAATGTGAGCGACGAGAACACAAAATAAAAAAATAAATATGCGTTTCTTTAATCAAACAGTCAATCACATTGAATTTTTCATTCTGCGACAAGCCTTCACTACGCGGTACCCTGTCCCGTGCAGACTTAAAAAATGTTAAAACGGTATTCCAACGCGTTTAGATAGAAAAATGGGGAAAAAATGCATTATAACTCATTGATATGATGAATTAAAAGGCTGAACGCGTTAAAACTAATGACTTTTATACAAACAGGTTTTAACACATTTGATGAGAGAAAATTGATGGTGTGATGCGCTTTAATGCATATATATATATATATATCAATGGGTTAGAATTCGTTGACTGTTATTTGTCTTTCTAGTAACTACGCGTTTTAACTTGGATAAAACTAAAGCATTTCAGGAAGCCATCTATTTCTTCTATCCCGTTTGTTAATAGCGCTAACCAGTAGCATCGAAGTTCTTCGGTTCGTTGTTACTACAAGGCAAAGAGCAACGTGCGTAACTATTCAATAATTCCTTATTCAATCATACGTTTCATTTTACTTATTCCCAAGCATATAAATTTAAAAAATTCTACGATACACCCTACGATTCATTTTTTTATTTCGTCGATTCTCTGCTTGAATTCATTTTTCGTTCGCTGATCTTCTGAAAAATAACTCTGCCAGGTAAGTCAAAAGATTTTTTTAAAGCAAAAAATATTATTTTGATCACAAAAATCATGCAAGGTTCGCACATATTCTTTCATTCTTTCTGAGTTAGATCCCTATTCTGCTTGAAATAATTATATATCATTTGAACAAGAAAAGCACCCATCGACTAAAATTTAATTCAAATTAACCGAGGAAAAGAAAATAATATTCCTAACAAACTTTAATATGAATCTGTCAAATCCTCACCGAAAAGCTCGCTACTGACAAATAGTAAACATGAGAATCATGGCATGGATAAAATAATTATTAAAAACTCGTTTAGTCGCTTCTTGGTTAACGTCCCCTTTGACAGAAATATTTTAATCTCTTAGTGATTTTTGTTATCGAAAAGACATATTAACTTTCTAAACATGAAAATGCATTACCAAATATATTTCTGGTAGCAAAAAAGGAAACTTCTATATATATTACATACTTTTTTCATACGCTATATATTTACCTGAATATTGGTTAAAAGATGGAGAGCAGAGATGGGCACGGTTCGGGTTTTTCAGAATTTAAACCGAACCGAAAAAAGTATTTTTTTTAAATTTCATCAGAGTTCACTAGAATCATCTAATTTTTGCTCCAATTGATGTGTCGCATTTTAAACGATTGCCATATGCACCGTCACTCTTTGTATAAAACACTTCGTATCAGAAAGTCTCTCCATACCAAAAGATCTTACGAAGAAACAATGTTTTAGATATAATAGAATACCCTTACTTAACTATTAAATGAATTGGGAAATTGTTGTATTGATCGATATATTTAATCGAAAATATGTAGTGTCCAAAATTTTCGGCTGAAAATTCATGAAGGCAGAACATACAATAACTTCTGCATATTTTAACCCTAAAAAAGCTTTCAGATCTGTCAAATTACTGCAATTTCTAGGAGATATTTTTCATTATTGCTGACTAAAAGAGAGGAATATAATGAAAGTTTCATCCGTAACCAACGGGAAAAAATTGATTTCTTATGATTTCTAATGACTTTCAGTGATATGTAGGGTTTTTTAGTAACAGAAATCAGTTTGTTCCCCTTCGTCAGGAATATTTATCCATTTGAACATAACAGAATATTCGGCATCTTCTACTACAGAGTGTTGGAGCAAGCTATTAAATAGACAGTTATCTACATAAAACCATGGTGCTTTAGTTATAATTTATTTGCACTCTGTCAGTGTTAATAAATAAGAAATATCCGTATCACATGAACTTCAGTTTAATTGATGATTACTGAATACTTTTTCTCCGTAAAGGATGTAATTGGTTTGTTTATGTTTTGTTTTTCTCAGAGAAATAAATATAAATAAAACTTATGCAGTTTCCTTGTTACTAATACTTTTTTTAATAATTTTTCTTTCTTTATATACCGAAATACTGATCTGAACCGCATCGATTTAGCTAAGAACCGAGCCGAACCGAACCGTACCCATCTCTGACGGAGAGTTAAAGAGCATACAACAGTAATGAAGTATTCATTTTTGTTCAGAGAATATATCCACGGTCGTGTAAATGTAAATAATCGAATAATAGTTTTCTAGCGTAGTTTTTTGCGTTTTATTTTATCTTCCAGATAGTGAAAAAGTTTCTCCTAGTGAATCAGCAAGATCTAATACTTTAGATTTATAATGGACGAGATCCTCAACACTAGTTAGTTTTTCTTATTAATAATTTTATTGTTTTGAAGATAAAAATAAAACATACAAAAAAGTTCGCTAAAAATGTATCACTGGATTATTTACATCTATATGACTATGAATCTATTCTCTGACAAGAAATGAAACTACACTATTGTTCTATACTCTTTAACTCCTGATCTTCTTTGAAATGATATTACCTGCTACCTCTTATTTACTAATAAATACTGTATTTCAATATTGATTGTAATATTAAGGCATGTTGCGTTATATACATTCTTCTTCAGTTTCGATGCGTTCTTACTGTCAGCGTCGTGAATTCCCCTCTATAGAAATACGTTGTGCACAGTCGAAAGTATCCGAAAATACGAGTTATAATGCGTTTTTCATTAAAACGTATTGCTTTATATGCTGCTATAACCAGGTTAAAGCGAAAGAAAAAGGGCTCTACTAAAACGCGTTTTCCGGACATTTTTGACTGTGCAATACACGTTGAATAAAAGACAAAAAGGAACTGTTTTAACGTGTCAATTTCATGTTTCTGACTGCTTGGGGACAATGAGACTGTTATTTTAAGATAAAAAAATACTGATATATGATAAATTTTGAATCAAATCAAAAATTCAAAATGTTACCTTGTTCATTTTTGTTAAGCCTCCCTTGAGATAGAGTCCTCTGCCAACGATGCTTGCTACCGTGTGTGGTAAGGATACGATGAAAGATGAACATTTCGCGTGATCTGCGATAAGAAATGAGTGAGTGAGGTTAGGAATTTACCGAGAAGGAAACCAAATCGGAAAGCAACACTTTGATAGCTTGGAATGGTCCATATCACGTTCACAAATCGAGAATACTTTCCAATGGGCAAAAATTCAATGGTATTTGCAAGCGGTGAAAATTTATCGAAGCTACCGAAAAGCAATGTTCAATAATACCATTTTCTAGCAGGCTTCTTCAAGTTTCGTTAACTAGTCACATCCTTCACTGGAGTTTTGCAGTTTGTCAGTGAAATTTCTGGGTAAAATTGCGTATTCAAATGAAATTTTCGAAGTCAATTAGTCACGCTGAAATATATTGCCGAAAGCCTTTCTTGCCAATGTCTGCGTTATTGTGACTGTTACATCTTGTATGACGTTGGAAATCGATAGAAAAGCTGAAAATAGCTAATCCACAGAGAAGATGCTAAACCTTTTCGAATTTCTCTGAATATCATAAAGTACTGAATCGGACTAAATTACTTTTCTTTTAAGCATCGAGGGCTTGATAAAATTATTAAACAACAGCAAAATTTCTTTCAAAAAATATTGTAAAGTAAGGGAAAAACTAATAAGCGTTTTGTAGAAAAAAAACTGAAAAGTTTCGACGAAATCGAACACTTACAGTAACAAGGTTTTATATATTTTAGCATTTAATCAATCTTGCATACCAAATTTTTGACTTTATATTGATCATATCCATGGCATTTGATGATGGAAAACATGTGATGCTGTCCTATAATTGGAATAGCAAAAACGTTGTATCGAAAATATACGATATTCTGAAAGCTGAAGGCATTAAAGTGTGGATGGATATAAACGGAGGGATGGGAGATAATGTAAACAGTAGGTAAGAGTATAAACAGTACTTTCTCTCTCATTAATAACGAAGTATATTTTGCTCTATTGGTTAGCATGGCTCAAGCAGTAGAAAAAGCTGCCGTTGTGTGCTGTTTTCTAACGCCTGATTATCAGTGTTCACATAATTGTAGGCTTGAATTACAATACGCTAACGATATTTCTAAACTACCTGAAAATCAAGCAGGAAATTTTCGCATTATTCCATGTATGCTTGGTGATAAAAAGAATCCGAAATGGAAGCCCTCTGATTGGTTAGGCTTGATAATTTCAGGGCAGCAATGGGTAAACATGAAAAACGATTCTGACTCTAATATTCGAATGAAAGCGCAAGAACTTATTGGAAGAATAAGAAATGAACTCTCAGTGTTAACGGCTGATGCTTCACATTTACCCATTAAACTTTTTGAAATGATTAGGGAAAAATATCTACGAGAAAATCATCGAATCAAACGGTTGATGAATGAAGAAAAGAGTTTCCCTATTGAACAGAACTACATCAATTTGGCCATCCTAGAGACAAAAGAACAGCAAGAAAAAGAAAAGAAATTAAAACAACCCGACAACGACAACCAAATCGACGAAGAAAATGAACAGAACAAACTTCGAAAACATCAAAATAAAGACATTCTTGGTACTTTTGAAGAAATCTATGGCAACAAAACCACAATCGATGTAGAACATATTTTCGAAAAATGCAAAGATCAAACAAAGAAGATACTTGTACTTGGACGAGCTGGCATTGGAAAATCAACCTTTTGTCAATATATTACCTATAGATGGGCGAAAGGTGAAATTTGGCCCCAATATAGACTGGTTGTCCTCATTAGGTTACGCTCGTTAACAGATAGTCGCTATCCACGACGAGAACCACCGTATACTACGATGGATCTTGTAAAGAAAGAATATTTGGAAGTTGAGGATATATCTGACGAAATGACACATCATTTGAAAGAACAGTGTAGTAAAGGTCTCGTTTTATGGATATTAGATGGTTATGATGAATTTGTTCAAAATATTCCCGAACAACTCAAGGGTGTATTCAAACATATATGCGACACGCAGCATCATATATTAACATCTCGACCTTATGCGATTGCATTACCGTATGACACTAAACTAGAAATAACCGGGTTCACCAATGAAAATATTCCCAGATATATCGAACAGTTCTTCGATCAAATCAAAACGCAATCGAAAAGTGCGATAAGCAATGGTCAAAAGCTTCAGGAGTTCTTAAAATCGAATGATAATATCTGGGGTGTTGCTCATATTCCGGTGAATCTAGAATTGATATGCAGTCTTTGGAGTGATTATGATTGGTCAAAAACTGCAATATTGACAATGACGCAACTGTACTCTAAAATAACAGAATGGCTATGTCGACGTTACTTGACAAGAAAGAATATCAATCATGAAGATATGACAAATCAAGATCTATATAAAGAATGCGAAATGGAGTTGCAGTTTCTAGAATATTTGGCTTTCAATGCAATGGAACGCAAGGAAATTATGCTGCCACCAGAACTGCTCGAAAAGACTGAAACGCAACTTGGGTGCTCCTTACGCAAATACCCACAGTTACTCAATATCGGCATTCTCAGATCATACGATGACAGAGCGACTGGGTCCAGCATTGACAGACAAAAGCAACATTACTTCGTTCATCTCAGCTTTCAAGAATATTTCGCCGCGCGCCATTTATTGAAAAATCTGAAAGGTCCCCATAGTCTCGAAGCGACTGATTTCATGAAGAATAACAAGTACAATCAACGCTTTCACTTTGTTTTCGTTTTCGCATCGGGACTTCTCGCACAATCAAATTTTAAATCAAACACAGACGTATTCTGGAACAATATAGAAGCGGAACCATTAGATCTTGTTGGCTTGAAGCACATCACACTTATAACTGAATGCATGGATCAGCTCATAGGTACATCAGTATTGCCCAACCGTACAAATTATCTAAAATCAATATCACATTGGATAACTATGAGTCTCACAAAAACTGCAACCTTAATACAGCAAACTCTTCTACAATCACTCAATCGAGCTAATTCTATAGTTAACACGTCCACCATTCAAAAACAATTCATAAAACTACTCGGAACAGAAGACGTGGATTCAAAATGCAGCATCTACGAGTTTATATCCAAATTATCAATGCTCAACCCCATCGCAGCATTACTCTTGAAAATTTCGGCTGACCTTCAAGATCAAGCCCCTGATATCCGGAGGAGTGCGTGCAAAACCCTCAAAAACTTTGGTGAAAAAGCGGCTACAGATGAAGTAATTGCTGCCATGCTAAATGCACTTACGAATAAAGATTCAGATGTTCGGTGGGCCGCATGTGACCTTCTCGAAAAGTTCGGTGAAAAAGCAGCCACGGATGAAGTCGTCACTGCTATGCTGAATTCACTTCAGGATAAAGATTCAGCTGTCCGAAGAAGCTCGTGCAACGCTCTCGGAAATATGGGCGAAAAGGGAGCCACGGATGAAGTGATCGCTGCCCTTCAAAATGCATTGCAGGATGAAGATTCGGGTGTCCGAAGGGAAGTGTGCTACGCTCTCTTAAAGATGGGCGAAACAGCAGCCATGGATGAAGTTATCGTTGGGATACAGAATGCACTTCAGCATAAAAGTCTGCCTATCCGATTTAGCGCGTGGAGTGCCCTGGCCCATATGGATGAAAGAGCAGTCACGGATAAATTCATCAGTAGTATGTTAAATGCACTTCGAGATGGAAATTCAAATGTTCGAACGAGTACATGCACAGCCTTTCTAATGATGGGCGAAAAAGCAGCTACGGATGAAGTCATCGCTGCCCTGCAAAGTGCACTGCAAGATGAAGATTCGAATGTCCGAGACAGCGCATGCCGAGCCCTTGTAAAGATGGGTGGAACAGCAGCCACGGAGAAAGTCATTGCTGCCATGCTGAATGTATTTCAACATGAAGATGCCGATCTTCAGGTGATGGCGTGCGAGGTCCTGGGAAAGATGGGTGAAAAATCAGTCACAGATGAAGTCATCGCTGCCATGCTGAATGGACTTCAGAACGAAGATTGGAATGTTCGGAGTAGCACCTGCGAAGCCTTGGGAAGTATGGGTAAAAAAGGAGCCACGGATGAAGTTATCACTGCTGTGTTGAATGCACTTCAGGATGAGAATTGGAATGTGCGAGTACGGGCATACTACATTCTCCTAAGGATGGGTGAAACAGCAGACACGGATCGATTCATCGCTGCCATGCAGAATGCACTTCAGCATGAAGAGCCGGTTGTCCGATATGGAGCGTGCTGCGCTCTTGGACGTATGGGTGAAAAAGCAATCACGGATAAAGTCATCATTGCCATACTAAATGCACTTCGGGATGAATATCAGAATGTCCGAGTGGGCGCTTGTGATTCACTGGGGAATATGAGTGAAAAAGCAGCTACCAATAAAGTCGTTGCAGCTCTGCAAAATGCACTTCTCGATGAAGATTCGGCTGTCAAAAGGAGTGCATGGAAAGCCCTTGGAAAGATGGGTGGAAAAGGAGCTACGAATGAAGCAATCATAGCTATACTGGATGCATTGCGTGATGAAGATTCAGATGTTCGAGGGGCCGCGTGTGAAGCCCTCGGAAGTATGGGTGAAAAAGCAGCTACAGATCAGGTCATCACTGCCATGCTGAATGCACTTCGTGATGAAGTTTGGAAGGTCCGAACGAGCGCGTGTGAAGCTTTTGGAAATATGGGTGAAAAGGCAGCTATTGATGAAGTGATCACTGCACTCCAAAATGCGCTTCTGGATAAAGATTGGAGTGTGCGACAAGAGGCATGCAAGGTCTTGAGAAAGATGGGCGAAAAATCAGCTACGGATGAAGGCATCGTTGCCATGCTGAATTTACTTCGCGATGAAAATGAACATGTCCGATCTGAAGCGTTGATCTTTCTTAGTGTGATATGTGAAAAAATCATAAAGAAGGAAGTGCTTGAGACATTGGTGAATGAATATTCATGTGGAGGTACAGATAATAGCCATACAATTGCTGAGAGTTTGCAAAAGATCATCTGCTCGTACGATGGAAAAGGAGAATTAGAGCCACAGATTGTTTCGAATATTTGCTCATGTATCGACTGGAATGACGCAAGTTGGGGTAAAGAAATACCTGCATCGCACTTGTTTAAGATTCTTCTTGATACACAAAACGCGGCTTGGATTCCACTGGTTTCACGTGTTGCACTATACCAAGGAGTCGCTGTAACTCTAATGGATAATCGCCTGAGAATCTACGATGCGAATGGGTCTTTGGAATTTGATGTAACACCTTCCGAGTTGGTCAAGAGTTTGGTAGAAGCTTTCAGAAACCAATTAGAAGAGCTCAAACGTTGTTCTCTAGCAGGCGATGGAACTCAAAGCACAATATGATCGTCATGATTTTTACTCCCAATTAATGAAGTTACCTGCAGATGCATTCTTATACATGCACATCAGCGTGTGGGTGTGAATATAGTTCTCCTTCTCACATACTAACACATCCATACCCAAACCAACAGCTACAGCCACACCCACACCCTCACCATCCACCTAGGTGGATGGTGAATATTGTTCATAATAGTTTACATTCTTTGAATTTGAATTAAATATTGAATGTCGTAAAAGAAAACCTTAAACGCATTTAGTTAGTTCTTCTATTTTTAATTAGTACTGTACATTTATATTGCTACTGCTCAACCATCGAGCTCGTACCTTTAATGGCAGGCATCTAAATGTACAGTACTAATAAAAAATAGAAGTCAAACCTATTTTGTTCATATCTCTGTCGGTATTGTAAAAAGTACACGAAGATTACAGCAGCATACTTTGAAAAAATTTCGAATGTATTTTTATTCTGAAATTAAGCAAGATGGTTAGTATTCATCTCTTTAATGTTAGTATTTTACTCTCATGCATTTATAGTAAATGAGAAAATGTTTTTGAAATTATTTATTCCATAGTCTTCTAAATTCATAATTTCAGCTATGTATATTTAAGTGTAACTTTAGCTGTGCACTGTTGCTTTTGACCACTTGTAAGATTGGCCACTATAATCAGATAATTTCCATTAATCATGGCTGATTGACAAGTTGAACTATTTAATATTGTTTGAATGGCTCCGTAAAGTTGAAGCTTAGCTTGAATGGCTTTATCTTGATAGTTTGTAATACTAATGATGAGATAAAACGTCTGCATTGTTACTATGTTGTTACTCAAAATGGATGATGTCATATTGCCATTAACTACATAGCGAATATCATTATTTTGACCAAGACTAATTGTTTGTGTATAATTTGAAGGAATATCAGGCAGGTTTGCCTGCCCAAGCAGTGTTCCATTTTGACGAATGGTAAGCACACCGGCTGGCATAAAAGAATCAGGTGTCAAATCATACATGCGCATAAAAACTCCCTGATACTGGCCCGTTTCAATACTTGACGATGCTTCATAATAAAATTTATATGTTGGATGAATATTAACGAACGGCATTCGAATTGTGCTTAATCCTTGCAATGTATAATCATTGTGAAATGAGTATGAATATAAACCTTGTTGTTCAGTATCCAATTGAACATTACTTGAACTTTGAGAGCTACTATCCATTGCTGTTTTCATTAATGGTGCTGTAAAAATGCTAACTAGTGGAATGCTCGAAGCCAGTTGTACATTGCCACCTATCAAATAAGTATTATTGACATTATATTGTCCCTGTTGAGCATTTTTAATGTTTACATAAGCATCAAAAGTCCATTCTAAACGAAAGACGACAATTTATTGCTGTAAAATAAATAAGGACTTGAGATATATGCACTTACTAGCGCCATCTGTCAGGAAAAGGTCATAGTTAGGTGCCCATGTAGGAGTTTTTTCGGAAATGATATCATCTGTCTGTTTTTTATATTTGTTATCCATATCATGAAACGATTGATTCTTCTACTACTAGTACAAAGTTTGATTTAATTAATGGGCATACATTCCATTCTAGATTGTAGATAGATATGTTAACTGTCATTTTGCGAAAGAGAATACGTAAGAAAATGGCAAGCTAATCAGACCCCTCGAAGAACTGAAAGACAAAAAATGAAACAGTTTGTGTGTGCAGTTATTTTGGAACCAAAGTTTGTTTGTTAGTCTCTTTATATTAATACCAGACACTTTAATTAAAAAATTCTCATTCTATATTTCAATGAGTTCAGAAAGATGCATATGGATTATTATTCAAATTTAAAATTGATTAATTCACTGATGTTTATGTTGATTATTTGACCATTGCAGCAAATGAATACGTATTAGTACCTATTATCGTCGACATCTCGGAAAAAAATTTCGATCTGTGCAAAAATTAGAAAGCTGCACTATGTAAAACAATTACAAATGTATTCCTACTACTTAAATATCGATGAAACCTTCAGAATGTTTTAGAACTATCGAAGTCTTTTCACAAAGATCTTTCGATGCTTTTTTCTATTTCTGAGAAAGTGGAATATAGGAATTAAAATGCTGCTGTCCTCAATTGATTTGATAGACTATGCAATAGCTTTTACTTCTAGTTGCTAAAAAATGTAACGAAAAAAGGGAAGAAAGAGAAAGAAGAAAATAGAAAACCATGACTCAACACTTTCACGTCATATTTTCTTGAAAAATATATATTCAAGTCTCACGAAATTCGTGAATGAAAAGAATAGAAAACAAAGTTCGTATGATTTTGAAACAACGAAGATCTAATATACACTAGCTTCCTTTTATTTTTTATTAACGTAAGTTATAGATTTCTGTCGTTCAATGAACGGTTTTGCTTCATATGAATGAATGACATCATAATCGAATAGTCATAAATTCCTGTCGTTAAATATGACAAAATTCCACTGTATGCTTCATTTTTATTGGAAAATATTATTTTTAATTGATAGCCATTATCATTTAGAGGCGTTGAAACGTATTGAATTGAACGAGGATCAGCATAAAAATAAGATTGTGTACGCTCATTTTGAAGAAGCATAGATGTTGGATCGATAATTGTGGCCTTTATTGTTGTACAACCGCATGCAGATGATTCTTTAACAATAACTTTAGCGCCTTTGAGTGAACTACTTGTGCTAAACAACTCTTGACGAATAAATGGCGTTCCAATCCAACTGATTGATCCAGAAATGATATTGACATATGCGTCATTTTTAAATGAATATGTTAACGTGCCTTGACCATGCTTATTTTCGCGAAGCTCAGTAAAACTATTGTAGATGAATAGATCGATGGCAAACAACTGTTTGAAAACACAAATAAGAGTTATATAGAAAAAAAACATGTTTTAGAATGAAGGTAAACCATATATGTTGTACATTTAAATAGTGACTGTTTTCAATTAGAAAGCAAATAAGAATAGGGTCATATGAAAATCTAATTACTTTTGTTCTATTCTGTTTTATGGAAGCGTAGGTATTAATGTTTTTGCCATTAAATCGATCATTAAATATTTATTATGGCTTTTTAAGATTTATCATATACAATTGATTGATAAAAAATAACTAGAAATAATGAGCTATATTCTTTATTTCGATGCATAGAGAATATTGCCTCCCAAAATTGTATCCATTTATTTCTCAAGAGTGCGTAATTCGTAGCAGTCATGATATAACATACAGCTCAAAGGTATATGAATATTTTAAGTATACTGTAGTGAGTAGAGGCGTAAACAGGATTTCCCACTATTCTCGATCTCTGCTACAGAGAGCATGGGTCCCAAACGAAAAATTATATACATTCACATTGGACTCAAATGATGAGTTTCTAGCGGAAAAAAGTTTGAATCAGAGATTGCAAAAACAAATTGTTACATAATAAGTCATGAGGATGATTCCTCAGCTCTTATAAGTGCTGTCCGATATCGTCTTGCGTTTTAACTGTTTCGTTCTCTCTTTGTTTCTTTGTTTCTTTCTTTCATTTTTCTTATATAGTTTGTCAACATCTTGACTCATCTTGATTTCTTCCTTCTTGTTGTTCTCTTTTTTTCTCTCTTTTTCAACAAAAGAAGATCGTTCAGTTTTGTTTGTTTTTTTCGTCGACACAGTCGACTGACTTTTAGTTTCGTTGGTAAAATTAAAGATTCATTGGTCGAATATTTTTTCCTAACTGAGCAAAAACTAAAACTTATTAATATATTTAACTCAAATTAGCATTTTCCTGAGCCCCACCAGAAAATGTTTCACAGCTTAATGACATCTCGTTTTCAGGAATGCCATCAAAAGCTACATCAAATTTCAGCGACAGATTTCAAATTTCATTTAAGCAAATTCACCTCTTCAGAGGTTACGGCGTTTTTAAGATTCGAGGCGTTTCGAAAAAATTTCACAAGGAATTTAAAATCTCATATCGTCTGAACGGATGAATTTTTTAAATTAAATTTGAAATTTGATGTAGCTTTCGATGGCATTCCTGAAAACGAGATATCCTTAAAGTCGTGAAACATTCTCTGGTGGGGCTCAGGAAAATGCTAATTTTTTTTGCAACCTCTGATTCAAACTTTTTTCCGCTAGAAACTCATCATTTGAGGCCAGTATGAATGTATATAAGTTTTCATTTGGGATCCATACTCTCTAGCAGAGATTCAGGATAATAAAAAATCATGGTTACGCCACTAGTAGTGACACGTCCATAGTAGTTGACAAGGTATATTGTCATTGCCCAACTATACAAAGAAAATTGTGTAAGTGATCTCTATCTATGTGACGAAAAAATGCAACGATCTAAGGTGAATTAACAGAACAGACTACGTATTCGTACACAGGATAGCTTTTAGGATCCGAATTCGGATCCAATGTACTTAATTGCATTGCCACTCTAATCCGCATGCTTAGATTTCATATTCGAAGAAGAATTTGCATGAATATGTTCAATTATTCTAATGGTAGAATTTGCTTGAGTGGTTTCTCCTTCACTCAAAATGTTTAAATTAGCCATTTTATTCATAAAAGACGTTTGAATGAAAAGTCAAGATTTTCGTCTATAAAACGCTCACAAAACTTCGTCACAACATCATGGATATTGTATGATCTAAGTAGCTACTCTCTATTTTTAAATCAATAGATCTGACTGTTTCTTGAATAGATTTTAAAGGGAACATTATAGATATCTGTGGGTTCTGCTATTAAAAAGAAAAGATTCAGGATCATCAAACTACATCAAAATTTAATTAATCAACAATATACTATTTACGTTAGTTCTTGATGGGAATTTTTGGAAAAGATATACATAGACTATTTCGTTTTCAGTTTAAACTTTTGAATGAGAAAAATCGATAGCAAAAATTCATTTCTTTTAATCTACATAAATCTGACATTTCTGGTTGATTACGTTCGAAAGTTACAATTTTTTTTCCGTCGTCTTCAATATCAGCGAATTCACCTGTAATTATCCACGTACTCAAAAATTGCTAAATGTCGAAATTCAGTTATCTCGTTTTTTCTGTCATCACCGAATTAATATAATCAACTTTATAAAACTACAGATTTGTAAAAACATATTTTCATGTGGATCCAAACTTTGACTACTAATGATTGCGGGCGATGTAATTAAACAATGAGACTCACTGGAAGATACGCTATTCAATGAAATTGATCAAAGAACTTTCCTATGGTGGTAGTATCATCAAAACAATGACGTTTTTTTTGTCACTATAGTAGACAAATCAAGTTGTCTAAATCAGAAATCAGCATCCTCTGTGCTTTCATCATACTTGCTGCTAGATTACATCACTAGAAATGTTAAGACAATATGTACACCAAATGCTGAAAAATGAAGAGAAAGATTATATTTGCTATTGTCTCCTCTTCTCCTTTCTGTTTATAGTAAAACAGTTAATGATCTGCACCACAAGATAATGAGCCAAATAAAATGATGATGTGTGGTAAAAAGCAGAAACTGATCATTTCAGTTTCGTTTCATTGTTACACAATTGTCACTTCAATACACTCATAGATGATATTCCACGGAATATAACAATTGCATTTGAAAAATACTAATGCTCTGTATCAAAATTGCTGAACATCAAAAACTTTCTGTCAGAGTGGTAGTATACGTTCAAGATATTTTCTCTATATGCGCATGTTAGCCTGCAAGCATAATACCATATACTGCTGACATTGTCAGTGCATATGTCTCATTGGAAACTCGAGGAAGTACATTCAGCAGACCTTATTGATAATGTGTATTTTCGGGCAACAGGCACAGTAAAATAGATCATCTTTATTATGGGTGTCAATTTACAGTTTACTTAATTTAAATTTAAATTCGTGAAAAGTTAATTTAATTTGAAATTAAATTCTATCAAGTTAAATTTAAAATAAATTAAAATTTTTCTGATACAAAAAATTTAATTTAAATTAAATTTTTTAAAATTTAAATGTGACACCCCTAGTAATGGTCTGTGATGACTTCTGAGGTATCTGTGTCACTGTCTGCGATGGTCTCTGAATTCTCTGTAACGGTCTGTGATGGTTTCTAGAGACTCCATACATCATAATACAGACTGTAATAGAGAAGCTCCACAGATCACCAGTGACAGTAATAGACGAATTCCAGAAAAGAAGTTTCATCGTGTTTCACATTTTAACCCCACAGGGATTGCGCTAACAGCTTTTTTTACTGCGATGCAGTGCGATTTCGTTGTTGTTTTCTCTATCGTGTGCTTTCATCTCGTCTACTTGTATTATTTCGCTCTGTGGATTGTTCTATTGCGTCTATAAATATATAGATAGATAGATAGGTAGATATATGTATAGTTTCATGTACAAGTAGTCAGTACTACGTTCCAGTTTCTACATTCCAGCTACTCGTTCCGTTCGTTTCTTTCTTTCATCTTGTTATTCTGTTTCTGTTTCTCGAGTCAATAAAATACATTATTGACCTTGATCGCTCTTATTTCTATTACGTAATTCGTAATACGTGACATTTACAGTGAGTGCTCATACTTTATTTTGATAGTTACAATGACATAATTGTTACGCTGATTGAATACAATATTTGCATTCATTTAACTTTGAAACCACATCTTCATATAATTTCTCAAAACGAGTATCGAGTTGGTTTACATTGTCTTGCAGAGTTTTTAACATCGAATTCTTATTCTCTGCTTGCTCCGGCATTGTTACTTTTTTAGTGTTAGTTTTCAGTGTCTCTTGTATGACTGAAAACGTGCTTGTTTTTTCATTGCGATCTTTTCAGTCATCGTGATTAATGTTTAAAAGGGAAGGTAAATTTTTATGAGAAAGAATGCTTTCAATGATTCATAAAATGTCAATATGTACCTGCGCCCTTCTGTTGTCAAGAATCCACATAGTCTTACAATCTTCTTTTGTTTTCCTTTGAAAAACCTAGACAATACATTGTTTTCTGCTGGAAAATTTCAACTTATTCTTTCAATCTTGTTTGATTTTTTTGAAAGTAACATTCGACATCAACACTTCTGCATCCCTGTATGATATTTTTACATGAATGTTCAATAAAATGCTTTCGATACTGACACATGCTTTTATTCTTCAATGACGACAGAATACACAGCACGAGAAGACACTAAACACTTTTTGGATCCCTTCACTCAATTCTCTACTTTCTATTTGATATACTACACATATCTGTAGAAGATTCAAGAAAGAACTAATAAGCTCACTTGAACAATTATAATATCAAAGCTAATTACGTCGCTTATGCGTATAAAGTAGTCATTGTTTTTATTGAAATCATATGGTTTCATGCTAAACATTTTTTTAGAAACCAAGAAAAAGAAATAAGGTACGTATACACATACGGATACTTTTAACAATCGTTCGATATATTTCTACAGTAATCTTAGCCAATCTGCGATTTTTCCTACGTTTTTTGTTTCTGATAACATAATCGATAATCTTTATCAATTGGTTATATCCAATAGTATTTACAAAAAGTGATAATTCTCTTATGCGATAAAAACTAAATATTTTCAGGATCTATTTTGCATCATCTGAGGTTCCCATGAAATTACAAGATCAACTGTTTCTACCTCTTGACTATTGTTGACTGTTCTACTCAAATAGAAAGTTGGACTGCCTGAAAATTATTTACAAGTTGAAGAAAATAAATAAAGTAAAAACCCACTGTCCACCCTTCTATATTTTATTACTTTCGAATTAAAATTCCATTAAGTCAATTGCTGAAACGCAAGAGTTGAGACTAGCTGATTGATTGATTTATCTTCTCCGTTAAGAAATAGGTCGATCTGTTTGTGAAGTGAATATTGAAATAAGTATTTCTTCTCTCTTTTATTATCAAGCAACACAATAGTCCACACATTGTGGACTATCGCTTTGTGAATACGATGCGAGAATCATTAACTATTGCAAAAATGTCTTTAAATTAATTATTTAATCTATTTGTATGCAATTCGAATGTTTCATATTTTAAAATTACGTATAATAATTATATAAACTCTCTCGATATAATATGAAGAGTATTTAAAAACACACAGATCTATAACAAACGCAGAGGGAGAGAAAGAGTCTAAAACAAGAGCATTGAACGAAGGATGCATAGTTTAGAATAATGAAAAGATCTTCATATTTACATACAGACATTTAAATCACTCTTCAATGAACAAATCTTGCTTACTACATGAAGCACTACTTTTTACATAATTATATTCGATATCTAAAATTAATCGATTTTCTATCCGTTTTATGGACTATTCAGGAAAAGCGTTCTCAGCAGCATTTATGTTCACGAATGGCAAGTAAAAGTATCGCTCCTAGTAGTGGTATAGGTTGCAGCACACCATTTCCAGCACTTCCGACAGATAAATTTGATTTCCAAATACGTGGTATGCGACTTGAGAAGGAACACAGAAGTGCTCCTATGGGTGTATTTCCCTCACTAGCGATATACTCCACAGTAATTGTATCATTACCATCTTGTCCGATGAAAGTTACCAGGCTTCCGACCGGATACATTCGATCCAGACCAATCATAAGTTGGCCCGTGACAATACGTCCAACGGTCGGAAATCGTTTTCCTTCAATGAGGACGCTAATGGGTTTGTAACTTTGACGCCATCCGTCAGCATATCCTATAGGTACAGTGCCGATCCATTCAGTTTGGGTTGTTGTATATGTACCTTCATAACCAATCTTTTCACTCGCATTCACTTGTTTAACAAGATCTAACATCGAGTAAACAGAAATAGCCTTTTGACGAGGAAAGGAAAGTGGTTGTTCTAACGGTTCTTTCAGTAGACCGGTCAATGCGCCTCCACAACGAACCGTATCAAAGAATGTCTTGTTACTATGAAATAGAGTAGCGCCTGAGTTTGCACAGTGAATAAGTTTCTCAGTTCAATTAGGAATGATTGCCAGAAATTCGTGAAAGTGTGCCAGTTGCCATTCAAAATAGGTCGTATTAATCATGTCTGTAACTGTTGAAAAATGAGTAAAGACTCCCGATAAGTTTAGTTTTGAATTGTTCGATACAATGCTAATTACTTCTTTCACTTCGTATAATGTCTTACAGCCTATTCGATTTAAGCCTGTATCGACTTTCAAATGAAAATCGAATTGTTCGTCGGCGACACGAGATGCTTCCTGGATTCATGCCAAAGAAATGCCTGTCATCGTAATTTTCGAGTGACTAGCTAACGACAAATGTTGTGGCGGGACATAGCCCAGAACGAGAATGAGCGCATCTTTTGTTAGCTGACGACACAGTAAAAGTGCTTCGTCCAATATAGCAACGCCTAGCCAAGTTGCGCCAGATGCGAGAGCAGTACGAGCTATTTCCACAAATCCATGTCCATACGCGTTGACTTTGACGACGGCCATTAGACGCACTTTCTCGCCAATGAATCTTTTCAGCTCACGTACATTATGACTCACTGCGTCCAGATCGGCTTGTACCCATGTTGGTCGGAGAAGAGAGTACATTGCTCTAAAAGAAGATTTCAATGGTGTAGATGATTTTATTCATTCGTCTAGATGTAAATTTCAATGTGCATGACTTCGATTGGAAGATGGCTTTTCTAAAGCTAAATTTGAAGATTAAAAGAGTTTCTCTTCTTTTAGTCAATATTAAAAAGGATTTTAAATTCAATCTATCGAAAACATTGTTATTCCCTGCGGAACAGTCAATCGTGAAATGAAAAATTCGAATTCCTATCAGATTGAACACTTACATTTTATTTATCAGGGTCTCATTCGTGCTGTTGAAATTCGGTCTGCTATAGATACACAGGGACATGATACTCATGGTCAAAAACAGCCTGATTATGAAAGACACCATGTTCTACCTATAAATGAAGACATTCATAAATGAATTGGATTGGTGATGGGATTGAATAAATGATTCATTTTACGACACTAAACTATCTTCTCGAGTAAGATGGTAGAGACAAAATAGCCTGTTTAGCTGTTCGTGTCCAGCATTCCCCATCGCTTGATCATGAAATTGTTCTGCATTGGCTTTACGTGAACACCTCAATGACTATTCGTAGTTCGGCTAGTAAAGAAAAATATCTACATTCCTAATTTCTCTACTTTCAAAACACAACAAGTAGATGTTGCGTCAATTTATATTCAAGAAAATGAATGTGAATAAATAAAACCAGAGTGCTTTATCCAGTGTTAAAATTTTTGAAAGCTGCAAAAATATATTTAAGGGAAGATCCTGCATTCAACGTTTCGAACAGCAGACAAAAAAAATTGTCTTTTCAATTATGGATACTATTTTTATCTTGCAATAGATATCTTTATGTTTGATTTAGACCTTAACCAATACTGATTTCCACGAACATCATGTTTTTCTCATCATAGAAATACTGGTGTAAGAAGTCTCAGCACAACGAAGATCCGATTTGAAAAATATCTAAGAGTAAGATAGACAAAAGTTGATTTTGTTTATTGTTCTGTAGTTTCTGTAGTTTCTGTGAAGTCAAGAAATGTAAACTACTGCGAACCGTCATCTTATTCTTATATTGATTCGTGGCAGGTATATATATACAGACAAACAAACAGAATATCCTTATCTAAATAAATGCTTCGAGTCCAACACTGGAACCGGTTTAGAAATGGTAAATCCGTCAATTGGAATGACATATCCTACCGGTGAAATTCCGGCGGAAACCAGCGAAACAAAGTCGAAATTTTTGGAGAAAAACACTTTTACAGAAAATGTCTCCACATATGAAATATTTTACGAATACATGTGAAGAACACTCATTATACTGAATCTTTTCAAATTGAACCTCAGAACACATGATTCAAATACTGTTGTGAACACTTTTTTGCGCATTCTGACAGAAAAAATGAAATCTTGCTTTTTATTGCCAAAAATTGGGTTAACAAAGAAGATTTCTCAAAACTTTCAACCGGTGAATTTCCGGACCGATTTCAGCGCTGCTTCGATTTTCACTTTTTTCTGCGCACAAATCTGATTTTGATACGTTTCAAGAGTTTACCTCTATAATGATATAGTTGAAGATGAATTATTTGATACTAAAACAGTTTGTCCAAATCGAACTAAAAAGAAGAAAAATCTTTACTATTGCAGCAAAATTATTTTGGCAATTGGTTACTAAAGTCGAACCTAAGGAAAGCGCATAAACTCTATCGGCTTATGAAGGCAAAGCAAACAGTATTTTGTTTTTATTAAATATTAGAAAGACTCGATCGCCAACTACATTTAATGAAACGGTTGTTTACATCATATATGACGAATTTTTACGCGACTTTTCAAAACTAAATTTTCTTTTGAGGAGTAAAACGGATTCGTGTCTCAAATAAAAACGATTTTTTTGAATAATAATTTATATATTCGTCGAAACAAAACAGTTCTTGTTTTTAACATGAGTCGGAAACTGAAAGTTTAGCATCAGAATGAATATGAACTAGTCCAGATTAATATCTGAGTTGTACAAGCGATGGCTACCATCAAACTCATCAATTTAACAAAGAAGGCGCATAAATGTAGAGGGTTATTCGAGAGACCTCAATATAACTGAACTAAAAAAATGCATTAATTCCATATTTCAATCCGCAAAACAATTGTAATTACAAGTTCTTATGCAAAATTGGTATCCACACTATTCTATATAAACATCAGAATAATTCATTTTTATGATATTTTATCACCGATTGTTCGATCTTAAGACGAATGACTTTCTTGTTCTCACTTTGCCATCTCTACGATTGTTATTACCCTCGTTTCTTTTGTTCTTCAATTTATTATCCGTCTTGAAATTATCGTCCACTTTTATACTTTTTTTCTCATCCTCATTACTTACTCCGAGCATCGATTTAATCGAAAATGCACATTTAAGACGTCATAAAACAATACAAAAGCAAGAAATACGCCAGTACACAAAAACAAACCTTTTCATATGAACTATATTGCACAGCTAGAGCGCTGAAACCTTTTCGGACTAATAGCTACTAAAATAGACAACATCAAAATACTACATGTCGTGCCATAATCTTATGTAAGAATTTTATAACTCTCAACTTCAACATTTTACAATCGTAGTGTTCTGTTGCATATGAAAAATAACAAAACAACGCGCTTCAGATCATCTGATTCGAAATGATTTATTGACTTTTTCCAATCCGGCTTAAAAAGTATTCAGAGAAAACACGTGCCTTTGGAATCTTTTTAAACCTTCGATAGTTACACATGATTCTTTTCAAAATAGACCCATATCGGACAATAGTTTTCACATAAAGAATTATTCGAGGAATGTATAAGTTTTATAAAGTAGCTCTTTGGTATTGAATTAAGGAAAGAATAGATTCTAAGACAAAGCGAGTTATTTAAAAGAACAGTTCAGAATGTTGCTGATGGATTTCATGATTTTTGTTAGAACTTCAACATACAAAAAGGCTATCATTTTAGTGGTCAGTAGAATAAATGAAATGGTCAGTAAGCAAAATAATTATAAAATCAGTAAAATAAATGAATGACCAGTAAAATAAATGAATGGACAATAAATTGAATGAATGNACTGACCATTTCTTAATTAATTACTGACCGTTTTAGTACTGACCATATAATATTAACACTGATTATTTGCCTATTTTTTTACTGACCATTTCATTTATTTTACTGACCAAAAATTATGTTCCCATACAAAAAGGCTAAGTAAATATATTCTAAACTTACAAAAAGTAACAGTCTGAATATAGAAGCGAAAATTGTACAACTGATGGAGGAGTAATGTTAATTGTCCTGTTTACCGTTTGAAAATTCATCGGAAGCCGATCTCTCTCTTGTGTATCAAGCATCATCATTGTTAATAAGAAATATTTCGGGTATTAATGGTAGATGAAATATCGGTAAATCAAAGATTGTTCAAAGTATTGGTGACAATGCATAAAAATCGAGTGAAAAAGCGCACAAGTTGAACAACTGTAATTGTCAGAGGTAGGTTGACCAGCAAATTATTTATTTTGAAGTAACGATGATTAAATTATACCATGTTCATCTGTGTAATGTTGATGAATATCCAATAGGCCGATCAAAGAGCATGGATGTTCTCGGATATTGACTGGAAATTTAATATTTGAATTGAAGTCATATTATTTTTTTTGTTTATCGAATAGCTTATTTTTATTTTGCTGTTTGAAAACTCTTTAACCATGTACATATTTATCGACTAATTTCACACGTATTCATAACTGTATTAACGGTAATTACTTTATCAAACAAGTTCCATTTCGATTGATTTAACACGCAAATGTTTGCATTGCTGAGGATGAGGACGTTGATATGTAGGTATCGTGGTTTTCTGTAGGCCCACATCCACATCTGTACTATAAATCATAATCTCAGGCAAGGCCGATTCTGGGAAAGACTTCACTCATTCTACGGGGAAAATGTACCATTGAACTCAAGCTTCGGTTTTGATTGCGTGTTTTATTAAGAACCGATAAGAATGGACGAAGAGATGAACTCGAATCAAATGCAGCGACATCACGCTGACAGCGTTGATGTTATATCAAAAGTTTCTTATTGATTTATTTCTGCGCACCCTGTTGTATATTTAAAAAAATCAAATTGCTAATTAAAACTGAAGGAATTCTAATCACAGAAAACTGGTTAATCGTTTTGTACCATATAATTAAAGTTTGCGAAAGTGACAGCACATATAGTATTTGGAGATAATTTGTAAACAACAACAATGAATTTTAAAAAGAAGTTTAATTGTCTGTTTCAACCGACCAAGTTTGCGGAGGAACTTCAACTTCTTTCGACGTATCCAATTCTTCCACCCTGTGCAGCTCCTAGTCTCACCAAAAGCATAAGAAGAGAGTTATAGTAATTAAGATGGTAACATACCAAGGGCTTAGATAAAAGTGGTTTCACGTATGCACCGAACAGTTGATAGTATGGATTGTTGATGTGAGTTTGCACATCACTCTGCTGCTCATACCGTTCTACGATGGCAAACTTGGTTGGATCTGCCACATCTATTTTACAATGGCGGATTATATCTTTTTCTAAATAGCAGAATAGCACACTGTTTTTTACCTTGACTAACAAACCAGTCGATGGTTCCTTTATCGTTGACATAAACGCGACTCGCTTCTATCAATTTCGCCTTGACCTTTTCCACGTGGTCGCTTTTCACAGTCAGATGTACAATAATAGTGAACACCATCGTAATTTTTTATCGTGTTAGAAAAGATACAATCCAAAAGAAACAAAAAAGATTCACGTGCACACGCGGAAAGTGTTACAAAAAGTAAAAGAGAATACCTCTTCGCCCGTCTCGTCATGATTTTGTCGATAAGATTGCTAGTAGCTATCATTGCTTGTGTAGAAGAAAGAAAGAAAAATGAATGGAGATGAAAGAACCAATGTGTAAAATAGACTTATCAGCTGATTACTTTGATCAAATATGGGCCAAAGGAATGGATTGTTAGACTCGAGATGTCGTTGGATGCGAGTATTCGATGATAAAGAGACGATATCTAGACCCACACCCTCAACAAATAATTATGTTGAATAAGCCTGCACAACAAAATTTGGCTTGCCAAATGAGCTGTGAGAGTGTCATTGGAGAGAAGATCTACACTTAAAACCGCTCACATCCTCTTAACAACTATGCATTCATTCCTTCAATAAGATTTCAATCCAAAAGTCAACTTTGACTATTAAGTCCTCAATCCTCTGCTCTTCTCAGATACTTTTATTATTAATCTTGACATTCGAATACGAATGTTTATTTAAAAAAAGCATTTCAGTGCAGCCCGGTGGGACTAAAATGTGAAATTCACGTATTATGAATCACTTAGATACTGAACAAATAGAATGTTTTAATAGCATGAGTTTTATAATCTGTTTAGGGATGCAATGGAAAAAAATAGAAATGCCTGAATAGGTGAAAACGTAGAATTTGGGTGTGGGCGTGGATATACATATTGCTAATAAAAATAGTAACACCCACCCACACCCTCATACAAACAAGATTAAATCATCAACATATTCAAGCAGATATATTGATGACTTTATTGAAATGCTATTTGAGTCATTTCGCCAATCGATTAATACGTCAAATTCGTTACAATGAAGCGTGTGTTCATGTAAAATTAGTACGTCAGCATCGTCGTCATTTATTATCAAAACAGCAAATAGTCGATGTTTATCCACAAATCATTGTTGACGTTCCTAAAATATCATTGAATCGAATTCAATTAGATTATCTTTCCAAAAGTGGTAAGTAGATACCTTTCTTTTATAGTATTATCTCAATCGTTAATTTATTCTTATATATTGATATCCTCATACATTTTCTATTTCAAGGACCTAATTATATCAGATCAAATCAAAGTTCTATTCATTCTTATAAACATCAAGAAAAACATGTACAGCAAGAACATAAGAACATTATGAATGTGATAACTCGTTATCTTATCCGTGAGCATCACATTTCACTAACAGCAACAATTATCAGAGAATTTTCTCAACACTTGGGAACAAGTCTACATCAACAATATATGATTCCATTATCTTACCTAAACATATATCGAACACGAAAAGAATTCAAATTAATGAAATCGATTCAACATAGACTAAAGAAAGAAAACTAGATTCTTCGCGGGACAGATAAAAGTGGAATTTTTCATATTGTCAATTAAGTTGATTATGAAAAGAAAGCAGAAGCTTATCGACAAAAAGCTGGTGCATATATTGAATTAGATTTTAATCCATTATGGAGTGTATTTGATAAAGTTATTCTTTTATTCAATGATCTTCGCTCAAAAAAATATATTTCATCGTAGCAACTAGATAAAATGATGCTGAAGCGAGAAACAGCTCAGTTAGCTTATTTATATTTCATTCCTAAACCTCACAAGATAATTCATTTCTAATCTTTGATTCTTATCTCTCTTCAACTCGTTCTACTAGGCAGGAACATCATTGAGGCCTATTGTATCATCAATGAATATGCCAAAAATAGGAATTTCAAAGTTTTCGAACAAATTAATACGGCCGATATTTGATAAACATGCGCCTTCAACCACAATTATTGATGGAGTTGATTTGATTCATCGTTTAGAAGCATACACAACAAATGGGTATCTCAAACCTAAAACTTATTTGTGCACGTTTGATATTACAAATTTATATACGATGTTACCACAAGAAGAATCACTTGATATTTTAATTGAATTTATCCTTCAACATGGCTATCAAAAAGTTCAAAATATTCCAATCGATATTATTCGAAAGTTAGCTCTTATCATCATTAAAGAAAACGTTTTTTGTTTATGAGAAGAAATTCTATCGACAAGTCATTGGTGGTGCGATGGGCTCAGCATTTACTTTAACACTAGCTAATATTTTCATGTGGAACTGGCAGAAATGACTTTCTCACCAACTGGAAGTATTTAATGAAATCTACAGTCGGCATTTAACATGGTTCATAAAAGAATATACTTTGATGATATTTTCTTTACGTCGAACGATTCATTCGAATCTATCGACCAAATGCTAGATGAAGCTAATAGGTTTCATCCAAACATTAAACTAGTACTACAAATCGGTAGAAGTGTTCTATTTCTTGATGTACTCATTCAGAACAGTAACGGAGCATTAATAACTTCGGTGTATCATGAAGAAGCAACGGAGTCATATGCGGTGCCATTTGGATCAGATCACCTTGGTCATATTTTTAGAAACACTGTTGATACTGATATTACAAGAGCAGTTCGTTATTCAACAACCTTATTTCAATTCGAAGAAGAAATACGACAAATGAAACTCATGTTTCTCTATAATAGGTGAGTTTCCTGTATTCATTCATGTTTTTCATTCTTTGCATGTGACTTATAGGTACCCGCTAAGACATATCCATTGGTGACTCACTACATTATTCAGTAAATATTTATCGAAAAACTTCATTTTGCCTATGCTAAATAACTATGATGACTTCAGTTATTTACGTCATCAGTTATTGAGAACATCAGCACATACAGAATACAATAAAACAATCAGAACCTCAACTACCAATCAAATTCATGACAAAAACATGCAAAATCAGTTTCTACAACCTACAGACAACAACGAATTAACAACACGAAAACGTCTCATCATCCATCGAAGACATGAAAAATGACGCGCGAACAATCACCGACATATTCATGAATTGTGGAGACGTACTTTGCGCGGTACAAATATCATCAATACTACTCTAATCATTCGAACTAATCTGAATCATAGCCTAAAACAAGAACTGATGCCCAGAATGCTCGAAAATATTTCACGTAAAACCAGCGATCAAACCGCAACATGAGACAGATCAACAAACAGAACATTCACGCAAACCTAACCAACCAATAACTTACTGCATTTAATACGTCGTATTGTTATTTATAAATAAAACATAAATATCCCACTCTTGAAAAATACCTATCCAGAGTACCACAAGTTTATAACCAAAACCTGACGCGAAGACATACAGTGCCATCATCAGATTAGTTATTCATAAAATAGCCTAAGCGAGAAATATCCATATACATAAGAATTAATAAACATTTCAACGACAAATATATGAAAAAATACATTTCTCCAACAATAATAAGATAACGTCGATATGGCAAGCACTTTAGATCACTTCTTCATGTCTCACAGACAGATAAGAACGCCTATGAATCAGAATAGCATTTTCGCAGCAAAGGTAGTGTCCATTTTCCTATGCAGCACCCTATCCTTTATTCGACTAATCCTTACTATCCAACACAATCTCAATCAAAATCCAGAAAAATCGGTGATTAAAAAATTGTTTTTGCTAAAATCCTTAATTATGAAACAACAGAAACAGCCTCCGAGTGACAACTCTATTTCTAATCAAAAGATCTTTCCGAGTCCCTACAAAATCAAAGCCGTCTGAAGAGACCCTAAAGCAAGGTCGAAGCGCGTAACGGTTAGCTCGAAGCACACCCACACCCGCTCTGGTGCACAATCAATCATCATAATGTGATGTGGAAAAACGAGATATATCCTTCACAGGAAGCAACTGCGCTATCACCTTGTTTCTACCACAACATAGAGGCCTATATTAAAGTAAAATATTTTTCAGTTTTACCCTCACCAAATGAATAGTCCCTGCCAAATAGACCTCATTCATATATTATCACTCAACTGGTTTCACTAGTCCGAAGGTTTGCTTTTTACAGACGTTCTGTTCAACGACTAGTCATTCGTTGGCGCTCCTATGGGTCGCCCATCACGGCTGGCTTTTACCGTGCTTTAATGTACTTCGTAGATAAATTCTCATTTCCTACAGATAATTAACATGATTTTGACCTCGCCTATTTGAAAAGGCTGTTTTTCTAAAGACTGAAGAAATACTTGCTGATACGACATACCAAGCGGCCTAGCTGAGAGTCGGATCCCCAGGAGAATGAATCCTAGCCTAGAACCCGATGAGTTCCGGTCGGTTCCTATTATAAATCCGGCGGAGCTTTTCGGAAGGCGCAAGGAAACTATCGTATTATCGTCGGATTACTGGTTCCGGAATCGATATCGGATCCTAATATCGAAAACTAATAAAATCCGATAGTACCCGTCAATCAGAACCGGAATGCTTCGGATTTCATTGGTTCCGACAATCGGATATCATTGGAAGTACGGCTGTCGGATCCGACATTGATTTCTCAACCAGGAATCCAACAGGATTTCGTCGCATGGTATGACCTCATAGAATCCGATGGGATTCAGTATCGGATTGATTCACCTGGGTCTGTTCCTTGCTTTGTTCGTTTGAAGCAGAGTTCTGGGCGAAAAAGAGTTAACGGGCGAAAGAAAATTAGTCTATGGATCTGAGGCGTATGCAGCACGGTCTCGAAAAGGTTTCTGCTCAGCGGCTAGCCGTGGCTTGTATCTCTCTGGGGCGCCACTCACGACTAACCGCCACTACTCTTTGCTGCAGTGTATCGAAATAATCAAACCACAACATTTCGAAAACTTAATCACGAATTCCAGTTTCTCGACCTCCATTATCTTCAGTTAAACTTTATGAAAAAGAACCGTTCTTTTCTTTATGAAGGTCTTTTTTAGTAAAAAAATCACTAGCCTTAATTAGGGTTAATTTTATCAGGCTAAATAAGCCTTAATCACCCTTGATATGGCTACACGTGCACCAAAATACAAACGCATTTTATTTCAAATGACCGTTCCTTCACTCGAGGAAGTAAAGTTCACTTCTGATTGGTACAGTTTCTGATCTATGGGAGAATACATCCTATTCCGCAATGTTGAACATTCCGGAACCAGTTCCGCTAACGGAACCAATTCCACCTTATTCTGGCAATTCCGTTTATCACCTCCAACACAATTCCGGAATTCCCAGAATCACTGCCTACCAATTCCATATAATTCCCGGAATTCCGTTTATCCCTTCCGGTTCCATTCCGGAATTCAGTACACCCACACTGACATCCACGCTCACACTTATGGCAACACCCACATTGACGCCCGCACCATGCAATTCCGGTACGGAATTTCGGGAATTAGGTCGAACAGGAATTGAACGGAATTACACAGAATTCCTAGGAATTGCGCCTAATTCCCAACGATTCCGTATTGACCTAATTCCGGAATTCCGAACCGGAATCGGATCATCACTAAATGGGTAAGAGAAGATATAATAGTAATTGAAGTTATGATTCCGGAATTGGACGGAATTCCGTGTAACTCCTAGAAATTCCCAGTGATTCCGCTTTCACCATATTCCGGAATTCGATTGAATTCCCTTGAATTCCGGGAATCGGACAGTGTTCATGTTTGACCTAATTTCGGAATCGACGGAACTGGTTCCGAAATGTTCAACATTGCGGAATAGGATGACTACTCCAAAATCGATCATGGTTACGCTTTGACACGCATCTACACTCAAGAGAATCTCTTTGTCTGATTGGACAAAGCCTATCGAAACATACAGCTGCTGGTGGTCTATTTGTTGATTTTCGTACCGCATTCAATCAGCTATGGTTTAATGGATTATGGATCAAGTTAACAAAATTAAATTGTCCTATGACGCTAATTTCCTGGTTGCGTCACTATCTATGTAATCAAAAAGCCTTCATCGACATTAAATCATCTCAGTCCACTGTGTTCAATCTAGCTAAAGGAGTCCCACAAGGCAGTGTGGTCGGCCCTGTTTTGTTCATAATTTACCATCATGATCTCCTTGCATCGCTGGAAACTATTCACTGGAAACATTTATTTGCCGACGATTCATCTATCTTATTTTCGCCGGATTCTTCGTTAACTCCATCGAACATGATCAGGGATATCACTGAACAAATCATTAAGGTTCTCAATCGACTCATCGATTATTCTAAATCCTGGAAGCAACCGATAAATTTCAATAAAACCCATTGGATGTTATTCAACAGACACGTTGCTTCAAAGTAACCAGAAATTGTTTGTCAGAGTCACCTTATCAATCCTGTCAATAGATTTAAATATCTAGGCACCTTTCTTGACGAGAAACTTTCATTCAATCCGCATATTGATTACATCAAATCAAAAATCAATTCAAATTTGAAGATATTCCAACGGTTATCATCGACCAGAATGACTTATGAAAAAATTAATTTCAAATTGTTCAATGCATACATCCACCCCTATTACCAATCGCTGCACAATGTCTATCCAATTTTATCGAACCGGAAGAAAGGTCAATTAGAAGGTCTAAATCGTAAAATCTTTCGAATTATCCACAACTGGCATGACGCCATAAATATCGAAATTACGAATTTGAACAAATACCGATCAATAGCCGAACTTACTGCAGCACATTGGAATAAACTCATAGACACAATTATTAGAACAAATCCTAGTGTTATTCAAGATTATTTACAACACAAAAT